AACCAATCAATCAGTGAAAGTTCCTTGTTGCTGCTTTAAAATAAGCAAAAAGAAAAGAAGCCTTTAACAATTATCAAAATAGTCAATTTATTTTCTGTCCATCGACTAACAATAAATCACTTCAGTAACACTTCTATAAACTGTTGGGTGGTTTAATTCCTCACAAGAAGAAGCTCTTTGTATGTTTTTTATGCAATAAAGATAACTGTAGTGAAGTGAAAAGTACAATATGTCCCTCTGAATCAAAGAGGAGTGGAAAGTGACATGTAAAGAAAATACTCGAGGGAAGTGAAAGCACCTCAAATTTCTACTTAAGCACAGTTGTTGAGTAAATGTACAGATTCCTCCACTACAATTCAATGTGCTTGAGAACACTTTAAAACTTTTATATGCCAGCTCTGTTCATCCTGTGAGTACATCAACATGAACTCAAGCTTGTGGGATCAAAACAAGGGTTTTCTTTACAATATGTGAATTCATGTCAGCCGTCAGATCCTCCTGCTCATCCAACCCGACGGCTTTATCAGTTTGTGCGAGCGTAGCGTGAGTTCAGACCTTGGTTAAAGTTCATCAGTTCAATCTCGAGCATAGACGCCTAACCCTTCACCGACATATGAAGAAGCTCCTCGACTGTATGATTAATTCATATTGAAAATTGGTCCTAGGCAACATAGTTCAAAATGAGCTCAACTAACAAGAACAGTAAAATCCTGCTTTAAAGGTCCAGTGTGAAACATTCAGGAGGCTCTATTGGCAGAAATGGAAGATAATATTTATAGGTATGTCTTCATTGGTGTATAATCACCTTGAATATAGGAATCGTTGCGTTTTTGTTACCTTAGAATCACCATGTTTCTACAGCAGCCCAGAAGGGACAATCCAAACACTGGCTCCGGTTGAGCTTTCTCTAACACGTTTGGAAGGAGAGGAGATATTCAGCTGATTGCAATCTGCAACTTCACTGATAGATGCCACTAAATCCTCCACACACTGGTCTTTTTATGCATGAGTAATAATAATCTAATGATATAATATGTTATATAGTATAACAGCCATGGACATTTTTCTGCATTGAGTGCATTTTCCTGATTATACTTAGATACTTTTTCAATGCTTTTACTTGTAAAAGAGTATTTCTACGGGGCAGTATTTGTACTTTCACTCCAGTAAGTGATCTGAATACTTTCTCCTCCTCTGTCAAACTGAATAAAGTCTGAGTTGAAACATTTGTGTTGCCCTACATGACAATCTTGAACGTCAGATCTTCTTACCAGTGTGCTGCAGTCTTAAAGCTATTGGGTCGCTGAAGAGTACAGTCTTGTTCTTTTATTGAGATGTACATGGTGTTTTTTTTTTTCCTCCCCACTCAACCGTGATGGATAGACGCTGCTGCCTCAGGCTCTCGCTGTGGCTTTATTTGTATCCTCCTTCCTGCCAAAGAAGGTTTGCCCTCCAAGATATGAAAGGTTTGAAACAGACTTGAGTCAAATGGGACTCACTAATAGTTTTAGCATTTGTTCTGGGCTGCGTGGAGAAATACAAGGGGTGGGATTTTACCGCATAAAGATGGTTTAGTGTTGTTTAGTGTCATGCTCTAAAAAACTGATTTTCATATTCTCTAAAATGTTGCAGCTCACTGTGTTGCTGCAATGTAGTAAACCTTTCTCCATCTGCCATTTTATCAGGTGAAATCCTCAGTCATTTAAGGTTTCTGTTCAGGTCTGGATTAATGTATTAGGTGACATTTCTGTTTTGTTTTTAATCACCGACGGACTAAAGAATAAAGAAATATGAATGCCTTGATAATAAACTGTCCACCCTGATGTCTAGACAGGCCAAATGTGAGCGGTGCTTTCATTAAATATCTTAAAAGCAGTAATCATTATGATAATAACTTGTCACATTTACATACAAGCTTTGGTTTCCTCCATACAGCTGATTGAACTTGTCTCCAGCTCATATTTGATTCTCTAACCACCCACCATCTTCTTCCTCCCCTGGAAAAAACCTCCTGTGTCAGTGACATGCTTTACATTTACAGTATGTTAAAAAATAAATAGAAGACGGTGAACAGACAAAGACAAGAGCGCCACCTACATGCAAAAACAAGAAGATGTGCACAGAAAGAAACAAACTAGCACCCTCGCTGTTTGACTGACGGGTGGAAGTGCAGTGTAGAACAGCCCCAGTAAAGAGCTCTGAGCACCCAAGATACCTACAAGATGAAACAAGTTGGGACATCACAAATTATGTAGAGTTTGAGGTTGAAAGCATAAATAATTTTATAATGTACGTTCATGAATTTGAAGGATACTACAGATTTTGTTTGACCTTCCCTCTTTGGTCTTTAAACGTCACATTTCCAGTTTATTTTGTCTAAAAATGTGACGCCTACAAGCTCAAGCTGAATTAGATTTATAGACAACCCCAGAGTGATTTCTCCAGACTTGACAACTACTGCAGGGGGGACACAAATAGGCAGCCTGTTAGATTAAAATAATCAGATTCACAAGGGGAACAATAACTACTAAGTCTGCTGCAGGGCTGTCAGGATGAACAAGCACATCAGTCATATCTCAAACACAACAGCCTGTCTTGCTCTCAAGTTACCCATCAATATAGTACAAGAGATCTGCATCAATTTGCATTAATCATTTGCGCATTAATTTATAATTTGTTGATATTAATTATGAAACATGCCTTTTTTGCCTTCCAAATGGAGGCTGTAGAAGTACCTTTAAAATAACAAACTCTCTTCTATGGCTTCAAATGACATGAATCACTGCAGGTAAACTACAGTGGGGGGAGGCACAATGGAGATGTGTTTAATCTATAATAATAATTGCCACTGGTCATTTTGTGTCTACCACAAACAAAGGCTGTGATGTGATGCATCATAAATCTACGAGAGATACGGTTTCACTCGAGGCAATGCATTTAACATGAATAATGCAACACAATATTTAAGTGTTTACAGAATAAAGAGCAAATAATACAATTATAAGATCTCTTTTTTATTCAAACATCTTTAATCCCTGTTTATCAGAGCTGCAGTATAATGAACCAGCATCCTGCCTGGTGGCGTTAACCTTCCCACAATCCTCCACATCATTTGAGACAATGATGATCATTCAGGAGGGTAGAAAGAGTTTTTTTTATGACGCATACTGTGTTACTCCTGCACGATCACATGGCTCCTCCTGACTCAGTGAGCGAGGAGGTGGCGCCACCTTCTGCTCTGACATGAGTATGATTTCACTTGGCTCATTCCTGCTCTATAACCGTCTGTTATACTTTAAAGCCATATAACTATTATGTTTTTATTATTCAGCAGGTCTCTGAAAAAATGCAGACTGTAGCAGAATCTATTTCCTCACCTCACCTAATGTTTTACTCGTTTACACACTTATATTCCCGGCATGGGGTCAATCAAAGTTTATCTTATCTTGTTTCCATTGGAAAGTATTCAATGAAGCTTCAAAACCATAACATTAATAAGAAAAATAACATGAGAAGCACATAGAGGCTTTTAATAATAATGCTTTTCCATGTTGAGAACATGAAACAAATATTTATAAAACAAAAGAAATGGGGACATTACAGAGACGATAAAAACTGAAACTCTCTGAGATGTGAACAGCGGTCTGGAACCAGGTTAGTAATTTAACAGACATACACACGATGTAATATAATGCAGTACAACAACACAACAAACATTATCATACAGTCAAGGCTCGATTACCAACTGGGTAAAGCAGGCTACTGAAGGTCCCTTTGGTTCACTCTGAGGCAATTAGTTTGTTTAATGTGATTTACTGCAAATTTGTTTGGTAATTTGAGAATAAGAATATAAACTGAAATAACAAGGGTCTAAAAGCAGGTCTTCTGCAATAGTGGGGCTAAATCTACCTATAAAACCTTTATTATTTCAATATATGTTGTGCTTGCTGCCAGAAACACAAGATGTGCCTCTTAAACTTCACAAAGGTGGTATTGTACTGCAATATTTAATGTATTTCCAGGTGTTTATGTTGCTGACAGTCTTAATATAATGTGTGTATATGTAGAGGGAAGTATGGATTAAGGATGAGAGTGAGCATAAATAATAAAATATTGCCACTGCAGTTGCTTATAGTTGTTGGACAGATTAGTTATGATTAAATGTGGATTAGTGCATTTGAAATCTGTTCCCTAATACTAAAATATATGTTATAAACATAATAATAATAATAATATCACAGTATAAAACAAAATACAGTCACTCATATTTGAGTTTCATCACTATATTTCTATCACAAGTTATTATGCAGGAACTAATTTGACACAGTAAACCTGTGATTTTCATGATGTTTTATGCAATTTGATACATATTAAAGTGTTTTTGTATTATAGAAACATAATAAAATATTATAATTCTGGATTATTAGTATTGATCCATTACTGTGTAAGTGGCATTTTACTGCTACAGTAGTAGGTCTACAGTATATAGGCCTACTGTATATAAATATTCATATTTATATATTAATAAAGTAACTAGAAATCAGTAACTACACTTGGATACAGTCCACAAACTCTGCATCAATGCTCCTGGGTTGCCTGTTGTTGAATACCAGCTTTGTTTCTATTAAAAAATATGACTTTAATGGTCATGTTTGTGGTTATATGGTCATATATTTTCTATACCAGTTACACAGTTTGTCCCCTCCTCTCTTTCTCTGTGTGTGTGTCCATGTGAACGGATTAGGATCAGGGATTAGAGGCAGATGTAAACCAGAAGTCGAGATCCAATCTAATTCTGCTGTCATCCCATCAAAGCAGAGAAAATGTCACGGTCGGGGTCAAGCTTTAAGCACGTCCCGCCTCCTCTGCAGCCACGGCGCATTCCTATTGGCGCAGCCTTCGATTGACGGCGCTGTCGTCCAATGGGAACGCGGAACGGGGACCTCCGGGGAGGAACCGCTGCGCAGATGTGCCTGAAGAGGACAGCGCAGGTTGTAACAGTGAGAGAGAAACACCCGAGACGGAGGCACGAAGAGCTGAAAACAGGAAAGGTGAGCACAAGATTAGACTTGTATGATATAATGTGAGTATAATAACAATTAGATTAAGTGTGTGGTTGCGTGTACTTGCTGTTTAAGTCAGGGTTTTTCTCGGTTATAGCCTACAAACACAGGAAACGGCAGTGACATGAGTTAGCCTGTGTCGTGTCTTTCCAATTTAAAGTAGTTTAAACAATTTATCGTCAATTTGTTATTTTCACAGCATATTTTCAGTTGTTTACAGGCAGGTTTGAGCCTCTGTCGTTTGTTTGAATCTTCTTGATCAGTTGTTTCACCCCAAAAAACAGGCCTGAAAAGTATATTTCCTCTATATATTTAAATAATATACAGGCAGATCATGATCCTCTCCAACCCTCCTTTGGCAGTCGTTAAACTGGCTTGATAAGTTATGTCCCTGCCAACATGTGAACTTAAATGTGTCCATTTTCTGAGACTTAAAATAAAAGGAGGGTGAGACAGATCTGACATGCATGAAATATGAGATCCAGAGAGTCTTGGAAAGCCAAGGAGACTGGCAAGAAAAGGACAGTCACGACCTGCCAGTTTTAGAGGTCATCCATTTGGCTGCACTTCAGCATTATTCGCCCTTGTTTCAAGGTGCTTTACCCCCCCCTCTCTTAACACCACCTTCCTTGTCTTTGTTAGTCTCTCATCACTTTACACTTTAGATGCTTGAAAATAATACCCACTCGTACAAACTTCCCACATTCCTCTTAAGGCTTGAACACTGGGGCAGTAAATCTACCTGACAGTCTGTGTGTGTCTGTGTGTGTGTGTGTGTGTGTCAGGTAAACCATGGCCTCTAAAGGAGGGGGGGTAATGATACAGCGAAGAAGACTTTGCTCTTCGCTTTGCAGCCTCTGACATTTGTTCCATTATTGGACGCAGTGCCAGACAGCTGCTGTCCCACGTTTACACTAAACTTTAACGTACTGCTCCACTTTGACGACACATTATCCGGTGAAAGCGTTAAAGCGTTCCCCCTGACTGAACTTGACAACAGATTACTTCAGTTTTACTGTTTGGCTACAAACAAAGTGGAGGTTTAAGGTGTATCCAATACAGGGAAAAAAAGTGTGCCCAAATGTTTGATTTGACCCTGAGAAGTCATCAGGAATGTGTGGGTGTGTTTTTTGTTTTGTTTGAGACTTTCATGCTGCATATTTAAAGATCAGATATTAAACTGGAGTCTGGAGGTGATTAATCAGTGACTAGTCAGGACCTGTTCACTTTCTTCTTACTCCAGACAACTGCAACCTTGAAATGAAGGCGTGTTGTCCTCCCTTTGAAAGTAAAACAAGGGTTGCGGCTGTTTAGAGACTCTCTTCCTTTTTTCTCCTTAATGGAAATGAAAGGGAAAACGTGTCAGCTTTTGTCTTAAACCTTTTTCTTTCAGCTGCAGACTGACTTATCTTCACTTTCACTTTCAGTTTCATTGAGTAAAAAATCCCCTTAAGTGTGACTGTGATCACTACCGACAGCAAAGATCAGGGTTACCTATTGTGCTTTTGGGTACTTTTCATCTCTCATGTAGTAAAAGGGAAGCTTAGACGTAAGGAATGTGGCCAGAGAGGCTTGCCAACTAAGGCGGTTACTAAAATATAGAAGTGTGTATTAACTATTGAAGTACCCCTTTGCAAAAGTACACCACACAAAGTCTTTACTGCATGCTTTTTGTCCCACTTTCTTATTTCACAGATGTCGTATGCCAGTGACAAACTGTACAAAGGATACTTGCGGCGGAATATGCCGGCCATTGTGTCCCAGGTGAAAGTGAGAGAAATAGTGACCCATCTGCCCTGCCTGACTGATCACGACAGGGTAGGTTTTAATTAGGTATAATGACCTCGAACTGAGGCTGGGGAATGTTTGGATCATTTTTAAATACTAGTGCCAATTACAAATACCGTTTTAATACAGATACTTTCTCTGAGGCCTTTACTCACCTTAACCCAAAAACCCTAAAATGTTAAACGTTGTCTATGAACTAACATTTGGATGTAAATGGATGTACTGTAAATCTGATTTTAGGAAACCATTGAGGCAAAAAGAGAGACTTGTGGGAACTATGACAGCATGGTGCTTCTTCTGGACTGTCTGAAGAGAAGAGAAAGCTGGCCGGAGCAATTCATCAAAGCACTCGAGGAGCTCGAGTTTAAAACTATGGCATCGGAGATTAGAGCAGAATACAACGCTCTGAAAGGCACCAACAGTGAGTCAACAACCTCTTCTTTACTGAAGTTTGTTGGATTTAACCGTGTTGAACAGGACCTACATTGATACAGCCACAAAAAACTGAATCTGTGCACATCTAAAGCTCCCATATTTTCATTATAATCCCTCATACTTTACTTTCCGGTTGAGTGTGTGAACATTGGAGCACGGTATACTTGACTAGGCACGCCGTAGTCTAGTAAAAAAAATTGCACAATGCAGTCTATTTTTGGCGCAGACCTGAGCTCAGTGCCCGAGGTATATGGTCATCTGCGTTCACACATGCAGTTCACAGGCGAGCGAGTGTACTGTGTCGTTCAGAGCTTCATAAGCTTATTATTACAGTTGAAGGAAAACAAGCGTCTTCTCACTGTCTGACCTTCAGAGATAACTCAAAGCTGATGTGTGGGAGAGCGATGATCTTCTTAACCTGAGCATGAAGCTCCAAATTCCACAATCCTACACTTATAAATTGTCAGGATTAGATATACTGTATCTCTTTTGGATATTTGTGAGTACGTAAACACACATAATACCAATAGGATAGCTCCCAGCAATGTTTGTTTTACTTGAGAAAGTATTTCACATGCTAATGTTCTCAGTAAGTTTGTATTCACACCAAATCAGGCGTTACAGCGATTATCGCAGGGTTGCTGTACTGTGGGAGTGTTACTGCGCGTCCCATTTGTGTCACATCGTGTTGTGAACTTTAAGTTTTTTCAACTCCTGATTTGGTGTGAATGCAGCCTTAGGATTGTTGGAGACAAACAACAGGGGAAGGCAAATAAAGAGACTTGCTGTACACATTTTTCAATGGCTCTTAATGTCAATAACATCTCGCTGGGGATAAAAGCTCAACGTGCAGGTGCAGATTGGGAAAGATCACTTATATTCTGGAAAGCTTTACTCTTTATACTGTCAGTTGGTTGCATCTTTGGCTAGCAAAAAGCTTTTTTTACTAGTCTCTTAAATGTCAGTGTATGCTTAATATCAATTTTATATAATGTGTTCCATTAGTATGTTTATAAAGATCAAAATCATATCAAACACAAGCTGCTGCAGGGAGTAATAGTATGTTTTACTAGTCCTGTGAACGTCAGTAAATGATAAATGACTGTATGTTTTCAGGGTCAGCTAGTCCTTCAGGAGCTTTAGTCATATGCATTCAAAGCAGATTTAAATGACAACATTGTTTGCTTTGCCCTAGATTCCAACCCCAGCTCCCCTCTGACAACAGTCATAAGGGCACACGTCCACCCGGCACCATCTGCCAGTCAACTGTCCATCCCGGAGAGTGGTGGAAACAGTCAGGTTGCTGTTGCTCCGCCAGCTGAAGCATCAGCTTCCCCAGAGCCAGCTGCCCAGCCTTCACCTCCCGTGGAAATCCCTGTGCAGCCACAAGCCCCCCCAGCAGCTCAAGTTCCTGAGGCTGTCGCCCCACCCGAGCTTGTCGCCGAGCCTCCGCAGTCAGCTCAAATTGAAGCGGCACCTGCTCCGTCCACACCTCCTCCTTCGCCTGAAACCCCACGCACTCCGCCGACTGCAACCCCGCCGCCTCAGAGGGAGATTCAGTCTCACCAGGAGCCGGTGGAAAACTCTGAATCAGACATCCAGGATATCTTTGGGGAGAATGGCGCGATCCCTGATCAGGTGATAGCAGGAGATGGCGAGGTGTCGATCAGCTCTGTGGACACTCCTCCACCTCCCCGTACTGTTGAGCCGTGTGAAACAGACACTCCGTCCCACCCAGATCCTCTCCAAACAACCACCACCACAGAGGCTGGCCCACCACGAAGTCCCTCTCCGACTCAGATGGACTCAGACGTGACCGATGGATCCGATTTCCCCACGATGACCCCAGAGAAGCCTCCAGTCCAGGACACCACCCCTCCTGTGGACATCAAACCTGCTACTCCTGAAGAGACTTCTGAACCCCCCGTAACTCAGGTAAAAAAACTAATTTGTAGGATTTTGTTAAGTTTCTCCTTTAATTGATTTCCTACATTTCCCTAAATGGCCGACACATTCGAAGTACAAGTCTTGTAGAGGCTCCGAAACAACAAAACTGTACCAAGATACATAAAAAAAATGTCTGTTTCGTTAATAATACTGAAGCAAAATTCTGTTTGCGTTCAGTTTTTAAGTAGCCTGGGAACCAGACTAATCTGCAGAGCTCATGATGTTTCATTTGCTCCGGCAGATGTGTCTGATCACCCTTCCGTCTGGTCGGCCCAATCACAACCGTTTTGACCGATAGAGGAGCGTCCAGTCTGTAGGTCCATTCAGGGCAACACTGTACTGTGTAGCTGTAATTTGACAACGTTTTTGACCAGGCCGCCATTTATTTCCTGCTTATAAATGGACCAAGCATTTGCATGTGTCACTTAGCGCTACGTCACACGTTTCATTGCTCTGATTGGATGTGGATTCTTGTAGGTTCCGCCAGGCTACTTTTTTAGTTCACCTGTAATGAAACCCTTTAGTAATGAGTTACATATATTACTATGTCAAAGTTTAAGTCATTTTTAACATTTTTGGGTAGAAAATGGCAGTTTTCTAGGTAACACCTGTTCAAATGTGTGGAATCCAATACAGCAGCTGTGCAATAATTCATACCACTGTGAAGCTTATAATGTTCCCAGAAAGGGATCTTACAGTAATAGTAGCAGTCAGTCATCTTAACATCTATTATCAATTTCACCTGCAGGTTCTTGAAAGCAGCCCGCAGACGGAAACTGCGGCTACAACCTCCCCGATTCTTCCTGCTGCTGAGATGGACGCCTCTCTCCTTGATGACAGCCATGTCTGTCTGAGCAAACCTGGCGTTCTCATCAGCATCCAGCCACAAAATGACAGCAGCTCTACTATCCCTGCACCCAGCTCCCCGGTGGCGCCCTACTCGGGTAACAGCGACCGTTTGGAAATGAGCGAAGATGCTGTGACCTCTACCCACGTCCCTGCGTGCTCTGCTGTCATCTCCGAAGCCGTGATTACAGACACTGCACTGCCATGCCAGGAGAACGGCATCGCCCTTAACCATAACGAACCGGAGGAAAACCACTACGAGTCTCCGTGTCCGAGTTTGGATATGCAGGAGGTTCGGGTGAACGTGGTGCAAATATCCGAGGAGCCGTCTATCCTCAACCTAGAGGGCCAAAACTCAGGCGCACAAGCTCAAAGCATCAACGGTGAAGCTGCCAAAGAGATCACCTCTGCACCGCCACTATCCACAGACGGTGCTGATACTGTATCAAGTGTAAACACCCCCTCCAGTGAGAACTGTCACCCCTCCGAGCCTGCACCAGCTGATATTACAGAGGAGAAGACTCCCTCTCGCGTCCTGCCAGCTAATACAAAGTACATTCTGACCGCTGCAGGAGTGGGCGCCTGTGCACTGCTGATGGCGTGGAAGTTTAAGAATTAAAGGGGATTTAATACCTTTAAAGGAAGAGAAGATTAGGCTTTAAAGCTTTGGAAAGAGGATCTTAAGGGTATGGTGCCTTATTGTAGTGACTGGCCTGGGATGGCGTGAGGCAGCTGTTTAATAATTACCTGTAGTAATAATAGCTGACTTGCCAGACCTTTGATCACGTCTTTAAATACAAGTTAATAAGTTGGACTGTATTTTATCATTTTACTGTTGAATGAGGTTGACCCTTGTGAGCAAAAAACCAAATCTACCCCTCTTACTCTTATTATGGAACTGGGTTGAGGTCTCAGGTTATTTATGCACCTGCTGCATATATGTGTTCAGTCAAGGTACGCCGATGTGTTAATGAGAGAAATGTTTGTATGTTCACTCGTCTGATAAGCACTTTTAAGATAAGACTGTTGGCTGTCATCCAGTGAGGATAGGTGTACCAAGGACCTGAATTTGTGGGGAATGGTGCTTTAAATGACGGCTAGTGCACTGTCTGTATTTATTTGTACATATATATATATATACACTATAGATATTAAATTCTGCATTTTAAGAAAAACTGATGAGCCTAAAACATTCCAAAGTAGTCGTGATGTCTTCGATATTGAGCCCTCAAAGAATCAGACAGATAAAAACTGCATAATTAAACTGGTTATTAGTCCTGACCAGTTGCTCCCAAACATTTTAAAACCAGTTCACTCCTTGACAGTGATTTTTCTTTCATGGCACTGCCCGGTTTCTTTCCGAGCCAGAGAGTGTGTTGTGTAAATATGACAAGTGGCAACAGAACAGTGAGCTGTTCTGTCATTAGCTGCATATTTAACAGGGTGTTTAAAACTCTTATTGCTTATTTCTTCCATTTTAATGTTGTTGAGAACGTATTATGAAAATGTAGTAAATGTAAACTATTTTTATGCAGTGAGATGGTATTAATAATGTACAATAAAAAACAGGAAATGAGCTTATCTTGGCACCCACTCTGGCAACCACCCTGTGCTGCTTTCTGGCTTTTACCTGGTGTAAATGTTTGAGATGACGTTTTATTTTTCCTTGGGATTTATTCTCCTTTTAAATAGTTGGTGTCATGTTCTATGAGATAAGATTTTATTGTAAATAGCATTGTCAGTACATGAAGTGTGTCGGAAAAATACAATTTAGAAGGTTTTGCACATTTTAGGAGGATATTTGAGTGTATTGTCATTATCATACATGGAAATTGTAATCTAAGTTTTAGCTTTTATGCTCTTGTCTCTAGCTATGCACTGGATAATCATGTAAATAAAACTGATATTATTACAAAAATTATTGAATTTGCATGTTTAATACCCTTTAGCGAAGCCACTAGTTTATGGCAACTCTTTAAACTTGTTTTATTTATTTCTTCATTGGACTTATGTCAAACAGAACAAGGGCGACAGAAAATTCCTATAGGAGTCCACTGTACAATTATTATTCTGTAAAAATAGAAAACGTATAATACTTGCATTATACATTAAAAGAATAAATGTCAATAGAGAATAAAATACCATAACATGCAAAAAGTAAGAATACATTTAATTGATTGCACTTTTTACCCTGCTTAACCGCATTTTCTTAATATATTCAATGTATTTTGAAGTAAAGAAAGCTAATTTACCAAATAGAATTAATAGAATTTATTATCTCTACTATTTGTTTTTATAACGCAACATAACATTGTTACCTGAAGAGCACAATAATCCTCATTTTGTGGTTATGTAATAATAATAATATAAGAACTAACTGTATATATAATATATAGAGTATAACATTAGATCATGAATAGATTTCGTACATGTAGCCTACTTCTCATAATTTAATTTTTTTATATTTTTGCATATATGATGTTTATTTTTAATGTGACAAAAAAAAAAAGTGACATCAGCCTCTTTCTGAACGGCGCTTTCTGATTGGTCCAGCCGTCCTTCAATCACCTCCTGGCCCCGCCCACCTCGGGCTTGACAGCGAACACAAAAAGGACATGCAACGAACACAGCTACTTAGCAGGCTAATTAGCTAGCTCCCAGAGCCTCGGACCTCATTGTCCACAGACATCACAGACATCACAGACGTCCAATGGTTCAATTTATCATTCATTACAGCCTATATGTAGTTAATTAGTCTTTTTAAATGGCGTTCAATGGCCACCAACACGACGATGAAAGTATCGACGAAGACGAAACGCCCACGAAGCAGCCGCGGTCCAACAAGGAGATGCCCGGTTGTTTCAGAAACGAGCCCAACAATGAGGCATCCGCGTCCGCCGGGAGAGCCACATCCGACCGGCGGAGCTCCAACGCGACGCCGAGGCAGCGGATCGACTCGGTGAAGAAAACAAGGCCGCGTAGGTGTTCACATTGCTGGCGTGGGCTTCGTGTATTTACTGGGGAAGGCAGCGTTTGTTGCATGTTTACAAAAAAAAATTAAAAGGCGTTCCCCATAAAAGACAGTGAGGATATAGATTTGGAAAGGGGGGTGGGGGGGGGTGCAAAAAAAATCATATAATGAGCTGCAGGAATATCTTAAAATAAAATTTAAATAGCGCTTTTATGCACTGTGATTGTGCTAAAACTGACAAAATGATTTTTGCAACGGGTTTACTCTGAAATATCGGTGAGATGTAGTGGCAGTAAATAGCCAGGATCTGGTTTGCAACAAGATGGCGTTCGCGGTACACACTGTGCTGTTGCTCTGCCTCTGAGGATGAAGCTGCTTGTCATTATGTCGGCCAACAATGAGACATCGGCTCTGCACTAAGCATTTATATATTAAAGATAGAAGATATTATTCAATGCAGGAAAACTATTTATTTGTTAAAGTGATCGTATTTAAAAAAAATATATATATATACATAATGTCATATTGCAGCTTTTCCCTGGTTTGGGATGGACATTGGAGGCACTCTGGTGAAGCTGGTGTACTTTGAGCCCAAAGACATCACAGCAGAGGAGGAGCAGGAGGAGGTGGAGAACCTGAAGAGCATCCGGCGCTACCTAACCTCCAACACCGCCTATGGTAAAACGGGCATCAGGGACGTGCACCTGGAGCTGCAGGACCTGACGCTGTGCGGCAGGACGGGCAACCTGCACTTCATCCGCTTCCCCACGCACGACCTGCCGGCCTTCCTGCAGATGGGTCGCAACAAGCACTTCTCCAGCCTCCACACCACCCTCTGCGCCACGGGAGGGGGGGCGTACAAGTTTGAGTCTGATTTCCGCACGGTGGGTCTGCAGTTGTTCTCTCTTGTTGTGCTTTTGCAGGCTGGACAGCGACGATGGACAGGAAGGAAAGATGAGAGAGAGAGAGAGAGAATTGTTAAGTCATAACATATTTATAGTATGTGATGGAGAGCACCGGAAATCCATGGCCGGTGAATACCAGGATTAAAAAGGGCGTATTGGTAGATGTTTGATTCTATAAATCCTCGTGCAAATTGGCAGAAATCAAAGCAAATTAATTATCTGACACATTGTTCAGATAACCTTTTGTCTTCTGGGCCATGAGAAAGCATTTGTTAATTATTTTGGGCCATTTTAACAGTGATGACAATGATAATGCATTATTGTTGCACTACGTTCTATATTTATATCAAACTGTGCGATGTACAATTGAACGTGTTAATTTAAGCAAGAAAAAATCTAAATTAGCTGTAAATTGTAATCAGGCTCCTGTTTTCTTACCCCCTGCTTACTCCAGTTTCCTGCCTGTGTCTTCCCCTCACACATCCCCTCATTGATGTAATCCATGTTCTCTTTCCTCTCAAAATAAAAATAAAGATGGCAGACCTGCAGCTTCACAAGCTGGATGAGCTGGACTGTTTGATTCGGGGTGTGTTGTACATCGACTCGGTGGTGTCCGGCGGACCCTCGGAGTGCTACTACTTTGAAAACCCCACAGACCCAGATCGTTGCATCCAGAAGCCCTACACACTGGAGAACCCCTATCCCCTGCTGCTGGTCAACATAGGGTCTGGGGTCAGCATCCTGGCTGTCTACTCTGAGAGCAACTACAAACGAGTTACAGGGACCAGGTAATTATCGGTGACGGTGATTTACTGTCCATTATGGGGATTATAGAGTCATTTTACAGTTCTTGAAGTAACATACGGTGTGAAAATGTGCTTTTAGGGAGTTATAGTTGAGTGAAATAGGATGAAATTATAAATAATTTTGTGCTCACGAGGCATCAATGCAAATCCACAGGTTTGCCTACTTCCTGCCTTCCATCATATTTCATAAACTCATTCATGATAAAACTTCGGACTATCATAAAGTGCATATTTTAATGCAAATGATTATTAACTTGACTAGCGCTGCAACGATTAATCAATTAAATGATTAGTTGAGCAACATAACATCGCCAATGTGCAACTATTTTGGTAATTGCTTCGTCTTGTACGTCATTGATGGGTCAAACATGACAAACATGTGATGGGTCCTGCTTCTGAAATGGGAGGATTGTGTATTGTTTTCACGTCTCACATTATGTTAAACTGAATGTCTTTTGTTTTTTGTTAAGACAGTGATGATGTCAGTTGTTTTGAAAATTGACAATACTGTCATATACTCAGACTTCTGCTCTGATTCTAAAAATCATATGTGCATGTACTTTTATATGAAGAAACTGAAGGGAAATACTGTCTGAATTTAATACACTTTTACCCATTTTGCTACTTGGTAATGTTATTAACATTTAAATATATTTATATTTTTATAGTATTGTTATGTTCATGGTGAGTCTGGCCTTCATCTGACAGTGATGAAAGATTAAAGATGCCAATTAAGTAAAAGAAGAGCAAAAGAAAACGAGAACTGTATTTGTCAAGTGCAGCATCACACATTTAAAGAGAGCTTTTAATATTTAATTTATATATTTATTTGGTTTGCTTTGCGTGTCAATAGCCCTAAATATCAGCCGAAAAAGAGGGAATCCACACGCAGGCTGATACCAGGTTAAAAGGATGCAGGGTTTTCACTCCAGCGGGTGACTGTTAGGTGATGTCTGCCCTCTGTGTCTCTTTAATGCCTTCGTATGAAAAGCAGCAGCTTTTTTTATTTATTTATTTTTTAACCTGTTACCAAACCACTTCCTTTACCAACCGTTTAGCTGTGAGTTGAAGCAAAATGGTTCTTTGTTAGTTTGATTTGTGGTTGAAATATGTTAGTTAAACTGTCAGATTTCCTTCCCTCCTCCTCCTCCTCCACTGGTTTGTTTTCACATGTGGTTTCTCTGTCTGGTGGCCTTGAATGGGACTCATGAATGCTTAGTTCTCCTTCAACATAATGGTGCTTTGTGCTGAGAAAGAAACACAAGATGAGTGTGTTTGAATCAGGAGACTGTATAATGTACATAACATTTTTTGAAGAGGTCAGTCTAACTCTATTTGCCCTCAATTTTAGACTCCAGTTGAGACTTTAAAATCTCTACTCAGCCCAGCAGGCAGCTTATCTTCCAGAACTGATGTATTTTGCATTCCTAGAATATTAATCTTTCTGTTAATGTGTGTGTTTACAGCCTCGGTGGTGGGACCTTCCTGGGCCTGTGTTGCCTGCTGACTGGCTGCTCTACTTTCGAGGAAGCTCTAGAAATGGCTTCTCAAGGGGAGAGCACCCGGGTGGATAAGCTGGTTCGGGACATTTATGGAGGAGACTATGAGAGGTTTGGGCTGCCAGGCTGGGCTGTAGCCTCAAGGTGCGGTTTACAGCAGCTTTTTTTTTCCACTATAGGTCACCAGCCTGCATTTAATGAAACAGGAACCGGGACGGTGCTAAATTTACCATCCTGGGATGAAAATAAGAAGCCTTTATCTTTTTTTTTTATGCACTATAAATCATGCTTTCTGGGATTTACTGTTTGAGTAACATTGCTGAATTTTAACAGAATTCTGAAGTACTTCTTCCTCTAATATGACTCGTGTTTTGATAGTTTTGGCAACATGATGTCCAAAGAGAAGAGGGAGTCGGTGTCCAAAGAGGACCTGGCCAGGGCAACACTGGTCACCATAACCAATAACATCGGCTCCATCACCAGAATGTGCGCTCTCAATGAGGTTGGTAACGAGTGGCGATGGTGGAATTAATTGAGTATTTTATTGGCATCTGTGTTTCACCGGTCAAAGATGGATGTCAAGAGACAAAAGTGAGGAAATGTTTCTTGCTGAGTGTTAGACTTACTTTACATTATGCAGTCTGTGGAATGATCTGTTCTCCACCGGTGTCCCTGCTGTTGCCTCTTTGCATTCAGCCTCTTTACGGTGCTGCCTTGTGGCGTCTTGATCAAGCAGCATTGTACAGGGCTATGAAGGCGTAGAGGAGGTAAGCTGCATTATCCACGTGTCTCTCACAGCTCAAAGCAGGAGGTGTTCAACTCAATGAATCAGTTGTGTTTATACTGTTTTGTAATAACAAACTTGCCTATTAATTAAACTAATTATTTCATTCTCTTTCGTTACTAAGAACATAGAGAGAGTGGTGTTTGTGGGCAACTTCCTCAGAGTGAACACTCTCTCTATGAAGCTTCTGGCCTACGCCATGGACTACTGGTCTAAAGGACAGCTCAAGGCACTTTTCCTACAACATGAGGTAAATAACTCGACCCCCACGTTGACCTCAGAACAAAATGGAGTTTTGTGCTTTGATGGACTCGATTTCTAACTCCAAGTTCTTTTTGTGGTGTTTTTTTTTTAGGGTTACTTCGGAGCAGTTGGTGCCTTGTTAGAGCTTCTGCATCCATCCTAATCCGTCCGAAAACTACATCCAAAGAAGTACTTGTCAATCTGCTGCAAAGACCTTTAGCACTTTAGACTGTTCACAGTTAATTTCACAGTGGGATGTTATGCCCGCCACCAACCAGTCACCCAGTTACTGGTAAATCTTGGTTGTGGCAGGCAAAATGTCAAACATTTAGAGGACCTATGTTTGTATAATGGTGACTTCTAAGTATTAATACACTGTTGTGGTCAGTAGATAGAAGTCTGTGTCCTGCCCTGACCAAAGTTGTGTGCAGCAAAGTTGACAAAGTCATCGTCTGCAGGACTTTGGAGAAAATGAGCTGGGGTTTGGTCTGAAACTACTCAAGGAAATTCACCACAGTTGCCTGAAATACTGTAGGTTTAAAAAGTCCTTAAATGGTCTTGTGGACTGCACTTCATTCTCAGTGGGTATCAAGTCCTTTTTATAAATGGTTTATTTTATCATACTGAGGTACCAGGTGGATGGGAGCCTGTTCAGTGTGTGAGCTTAACCACAGGAAAGATTTTACTAGAAAATCATCAATCATTGTTTATTTGTCGAATATGTTGTCGATTAATTGTTTGGTCTATAAAATAACTAAAAATAGTTAAAAATACCCGACTTTATCTTCCAGATCCAAAGATAACTTTACTTTAAAATGCTTTATTTGTCCGAACAACAATTCTAAACCCCAAAGACACAATTATCATATGAAAGTGAACTATCTGTCTAATTGACTAATCCTTTCCACTCTCCGTACCTGTTCCAAATAACAACATATTGGAAATGAAACAACACTGGTTAATCCTGCAAAATTCATTGAAGGGGAATGAAAGAAAAGATGGCTTGAACTCTGAAATTTAGAGTACTCACTGACCGATTTAGCCGTTGATATCGGTGCACTGTCGCGGTAGTACTCCCATCCATCTGGTAGTCTTAGTAAGCTCAACACTGAGAATCATTTACAACCACTTATGTGTTTTATTATCTGTGAGCATTTTACTCATCGTCACCAGTTGGACTTGAAAGGAGGATGTGAATGGTAAATGGTTTTTAAACAGTTTCTGCAAAAACAAATGTTTCCTCAATGGATGTTGACTCTAAATTTCATCACTTATTCTTTAATGGAGATATTAACTGTTACTGGTGTAGATAGTATAATTTTAAGACAGTTTCTGCCTCTGTGAATGGGAAATATTGTCCTGTTACAGTAGTTTTCCCACTTGAGATCTCAGTGTTTGTAAAAGAACCCAAATGTTTACTCTGAGCTGTTTGAGAAATCAGGAAATCTAGACAATCATTGTTGGGGTTAGTGAGACTGTACTGTTATGAATTCAAGCCCCTTTCTGACCCCAAAACGTCTGCCCTGCTGAAGTGCCCTTGAGCCGCTGCAACCCTTTCCCCGCAGAGAGAAAATCAGAGCAAGCAGAAAGAGATTTATAAATGTGAAGATGCAAAATAGAGGCTAAAATTAGGGCATTTGATCCCTGAAATGTTCCCCAGGTCCAAGAAAAAGTTTTTGTTTTTTTTTTAAATGCAGAAACTTGATGAATCCCTCCAATGGAGGTTTGAACTCCAAACCCTTTCTGTCTTGTTGGGCATGTTCAGTATGTACTTAAATATTGCTTTTGCTTTCATTTGGTCAGTTTCCCCTGAAGCTTTTATTCTTTTTAACAGGAATTTAGCAACGTAGAACCTGATTGTTTAACCCTGTGTCTCCGATGTGTGCGTTTTTGTTTGTCCTATAATCATTTAATGCTTATCCGTCCTATTTTAATGTAATCTGTTTTTTAAGTGATCGATCCGTCGATGGATTACAGGGACCATAATGAATCATTAACTACCTAAAAGGAGGAGATTTCACTCCCAGAATAGTTGGAAATTCAGTGGACACAGTTGTTCAGTGGTCAGTTACTGGAGATAATGTATCTGCAAGTTGTAAAATACAGCAAGTTGATTTTAAAATGAAGTGCCTGTCATGTTTTTGTATCTAATACATGAATGTGTTGAGCAATGTGATTTTTAAAATGAGACAAACTGTAATTCTCTAGGTTTCCCCTCTTGTTGTTTTTGTTGTTGTTGTTGTTTGCTTCTAACTTTTTTTTTGTAACTCACATCACAAGATTTCTTACTGCATTGTCCCTATTAAAATACAAACGTTTCATATCTTTGGGACTTCTTTCTTTGTTGCATTTTATGGGGGAACTTTTAAAGGTTATAATGGGACATTTTGGGAAATACTTTAGTGGCTTAATTTCTCTTTCAACAGTGGGCTAAGATTTTGCGGGATTTTTTCGCTTCCAGTGGATCTTTTTGGCAAGAAAGCGAGTACGCATGTTATTTCCCAAAAAAAGTCAAATGATTCCTTTAGGTTAAGGGTCATTTAAAGGGCAAAATGCAGCTTTTCGAGGCTGCATTGCTTTGTTTAGTTAACGTTATAGGTTATTCTAACATTACACTCCCGTATTGATATCAGAGGATATAAAGATGCCATTTTAATGTAAAGTCACCTTAACGTCCTTTCCGCATTCTACCTAAACTGCAGGACAATGTAAAGATATTTCATATTTTGTATTTTACAGGCAAGATGTGTTTATATAAGAAACTTGATCTGCAGCCATGATCCGGTTGTAAATCTGCGGACACGTTGCGCCTCGTCAGGCACGTAGCCTGCGAGTGAAATATGCGAGATTCAGCCTGTTACGGAACCATCCATGAAAGAGTTAGTGTCTTTCCAGGGAATAAATCCAGCCCACTTCAGTCTTGCAGCCTCCTCTTCCTCCTCCTCCTCCTCCTCCTCCTCCTCGCCAGTGAGGGCTGCACAGCTGGCAATTTACAGACACATAACGCAGGGAGTAATTGGCTGCTTGGTGGACCCCTTGTCTGATGGAGGAGATGAATTAGCACAAGTACTGGGACATAAATTCATCTTTTGATTCAGTTTATAAACCTCTGGATCACCAAAAAAAAACTGAAGACCAAGCCTCCCCTCTCCACTGGAACCGTTATAACCTCCTCACACTAGAAACATAAGGTAAGGCAGCTTTGTTAATACTTTGCAATCGTGATTTGGCTGCAAAACTCACATCTTTGTAGAGGATTTTACTGTAAAACTCCTTAACCTGTAAGAAGAAAGTAACAAGCTGCATTTAATACTCAGTCTGTTATAATTAAATACAGCTTTGATAACTCTTGTGAGGCAGCATTGTGCTTTAAAGTCGCTCCATAGAATATCAGCTGCAGTATATTTGTCCATAAGATCCATGAGAGTAAAACAAATTCACTTTTAGGATGCTGAATGTTGGAGATGGAAAAAATGTGAGGAATGCTGCAACAGGAAGTAAAATATGTTCCCAAAGCCAAATATTTACTTGGGGGAAATAATCTGAGGTGTAATTACAGGACTGATCTGTGTCCGGATCAGAAGAAATGTGTTAAATTGGTTCCACTTTCTAATAAATCGCAGTCATTAAGGGTAAATAAGCTGTAGCTGTATTCTTTAATTCATAGTGAATTATTTACTGATGCTTTATAGATCAGTTATACAACAAGATGGTGTTTTTAATTTGGTATTTAGTGTTTATAAATCCTCATTCTCACTTTCTAATAAGCCGTCAAGCCTGCAGTTATAAATGTTTAGAAATTGTTCATATATGTATGTTGGTCCAGATGCTGTTTTCCAGGAGATAAGCAGTGAAATGATCCATTGTTGGGAGTTTTCTGATGTCTTAAAGAACTAAAAACACAAAGTTAATGTCGTGCTGGATGAGGATGAACAGCCCAAAAGTTGTTTTTATTAATAGCTTTCTTTAAAAAAAAAAATGCTACAGTTAAATGTTTCTCTTGAGTTTGGAAAAAGTTTACACCCCTGTGTTGTGATTTGCATCTAGACTCTTTACAAAACAGTAAGGCGGACAAAGCCAACAAACCCCTAATTGCACTTTCTCATAATTTCTAGGAAATGTTTGACCACCATGTGTTTTCTATTTTGAGCAACTGTAGTTTTCTTTTTTTCCTTCTATATCTAAAACCCATCAACTCATCTACTCCCTTTGATGTGGCTCACGCTCATGTCGACTGATTTGGGTATAAAGTTACACAAAGTTCCTCTGAGGTCAACAGCGTGCAGCAGTACGGCAGGAAAATCTTTTTTATTGCCCAGGGAGCTTTAACTCCTCAGTTTGTTTCAGTCTGCTGAAGCACAACAAGGTACAGACCTCTGGTAGTGATTAGCAGATTCAGAGTAGTCCTGTGTGTGGTTATTGTTGTGTGTGTGTGTTTCGGTGGGAATGTGCACATGAAGAGTCTCGAGATAAGACTTTGTGATGACCAAAGGGTTCTGTATGTTGAAGCTGAGAGCCAGGCTGATCCGGGGAACCGCTGCCTGGTTGATTTGAGCCTTTCATAAGACCTGATCCATGAGCACATTGGTATGGAGAGCCCCTGCTTCAGTGAGGGGTGAGAGAGGAAGAGAAACAGTTCAATGTGTGTGTGTGTGTGTGTGTGTGTGTGTGTGTGTGTGTGTGTGTGTGTGTGTGTGTGTGAGAGAGAGAGAGAGGGTTGGTTTGAATTAGAGTTGGCCTGATACATAAGTGTTGGACTTTTTATTAAAATCAGATGTTGTGTGATGGAGGTTGTAACAAAAGCTACAAAATGTGTGCATAATATATTTTATGTTTGTAAGTAATGGTCCACTCATTATTTCAGGCAATTAGTTATTTAAATGTCCAGTGTGTTACGTTTAGGAGAATCTATTGGCAGAAATGTAATATAATCAGTGTTTCTGTTACCTTAGAATGAGCCGTTTATCTACAGAGGGAGCGGAGTGTCACAGCCACCATAGTTTCTCCTATAATGTTAGAATGGGAGGGTGAGGCGAAGGCGTTGAGATCAGCAATTACACCGCTAGATGCCACTAAATCAGTTACGATAACGTACTTACTTAAGTAATTGCTAAGATGTGGAAACATGGTGACTTTGCTGCATATGAGAGATCAGGAGATTGGACAGGTTGTTAACAAAGATTATCTTTGTTAACAACTAATTCTTTTAAATATCTTATAGATGTCGTTCTCAATGCTTATATTGCAATTCTTCTCTCCCTTTGGCGCTTTTTAAGGGACAAACACCAAACCAGAGTCTATTGTAGCAGGTGATGGGTGCATCATTTGTGTTTTTTTGTAAGTTTTGGGTAGATTTTTCCTTTCTAGAGAGGCTGGATATGAAAAAAGTATCCACAGAGTACCACATTATGGGAAATACACCTTTTGCACTCTTTTCAGGAGTTAGAGGATAAAATCTACTCTACATGCGTTTCATTAATGTGTGTTCATTAGAGATTAGTACAGCATTATAGCTTAACACAAACACTGGAAGCAGGGCATATTCTCATCTAGTTAGTCAGCAACTAACTATATTTCTGGGTGTATATTAAGCCCCTCATTCTGCATGTGTTTGATCCTGATCTCTACCATCAACAATATAATAAAGGCAGAAAAATAATCTTACGATACAGAATATCCACGCTAAAATGTGGCACCACAAGGCTTCAGTTCAGACACAGTGGTAATGCCTTTCAGATCCCCTAAAGCCCCTTAGTGTGAACGTGTATGTCCTTCCATACACTGTGAAATTGGACTCAGACGACGCAGTCAGTCTCAGACATGTTTTGGAAAGGGCACCTTAAGGTTGTGGTTTCTGTACAAACACATCACACTACTGTATGTGTCTCTGGAGGAAGAAACCCCCCCACTCGCTAAAAGCTAAGAGGGAGTGTAGCTGTCAGGTTATCAATAGCAGGCCTATGTTAGCATTCAGTACCTACCAGAGCTGTACAGGAAGGTTTAACGGAGCAGAGGGAATATTTTCTAGGGAAAAGGTGGCTTATTGTATCTAGAAATATGAATGAATATTAACCCAAAGGAAAATGTCCTGAATAATAGTGACGCCTGCTCACTTAAAGATGAACATCAGCACACTAACATTAAAAGAAACTGGACTGGAAATCTATGCAAAGGGACAAACATCATTGAGGCCTACACATTTTTAAATATTCCCTGTTATTCTTCCCCACGTCAGAGTCAAGTAAACAGTGGCCAGATGGTTTGAATCAAACTACTGGAGCAACTCTACGCTCTTACATCTATCATACTTCCATATGCTCAGCATATTTGCAGCTCCTCTGTGTGGGCCCCCTTGGTTTTAGTTATAGCTAATAATGAAATATGTTACGAGGCTGAAATCTGAGAGTATTTTGTATACTGTGCATCAAACTCTACTGCTGTGGCAACAGGTGTCTTGTGGCTCTTTCCAACACTTAAAACCTTTTTCATGGTTAAAAAGAAAATGGTACACGCTTCTTCTTACAAAATATCATAAATATTATTGTAATGTGCAGTAGTGCATCCGTTGTATACAGAGATGTGCACAATATCTAAGGGAAGGGGCAAAAAAGGAAATGGGGCACTACTATTGTGTTCAGGATTACATCTCATAGGGTACATTTTTGCAGTTTTCTAACCGAAAAGATGTCTGGGTCAACCACAGGGACATTTTTGGTGACCAGAATGGCATCAAGCAATCAGAGAATCATTCAGGGGTCACAGGCAGCTGGATCTGTCTATGTTAAAGAACGCTTACTTTCTGTTTTAGCAGGTTAGAGGTGGAGCAAGTGCATAAAACTTCACAAAACTAGAACCAGGGTGAGCGTTTTTCCAAACAAGCAACAGGTCAATATTCTTATCTGCTTTCTTAAGTGTTAGATGAGTTAGGTCAGAATATCAGTCTCTTCCCTGCGTGCATATGAATCTGGAGCCAGCAGCTGATTAGTTAAGCTTAGCATAAAGAATGGAATCGGGGAAAAGCCTGGCTTTGTTTGAAGGTAACAAAATTATCTTATCAGTACCCCTAAAGCTCACTAGTAAAACTTTACATATGTTGTTTGTTGATTCCATATAAAACTGTTCTTTCAGTACTTATAGTACATATTCAATTCATACAGTTTCTTCACATAAGAAACTCTCTGGTGTGCACAGTTTACATGTTCATGGAGAGAGTTAAAGGTGATAACCTCATTAGTTGTTGATGATATTTTGTATAATATAGTTTATATAGAGAGTATAGTCAGGTGTGTTGCTATTCTGGGTAATTAACGATTGAGTAATTAATGATGTTACGTTAGTTCTGGAAATAGTTGCTCATATCTGTGAGATACTTTATGATGTGCACTACAAACTTGTGGAAAAAACATTTTAAACCTTGTCCCTGCAAACAAGGAAAACTCGTCTGTGTCTCGTCTCCTAAACTGATAATTACATGTCATAAAATCTACCTGAATGGGCCCAGTATTCATTATTTAGATTTATAGAAAACATCCAGTCTTCTTCGCGCTATGAGATTTGTCTTGACATTGCCTTTTTCTTTTTCTTCCTGTGCAGCTGAAATGATGGAGAAGTCCAGATGCACGCAACAGTTAGCGTTCAACCTTCTGTTTGGGTTGTGGTTTACTTGCTGTTTGGCCCAGACCACACCATCAAACACAGCCACGCCGGCACCCTCACCATCCCCGTCCCCCCAGTCCCAGAATGAACGGCTAAAGGTCAGACTGGCTGGATACCCGCGAAAACACAACGAGGGTCGGGTAGAGCTCTTCTACAAGGGAGAGTGGGGAACCATCTGTGACGACGACTTCTCAATATCCAACGCCAACGTGCTCTGTCGCCAACTGGGCTTTGTCTCAGCCACAGGATGGACCCACAGTGCCAAATATGGCAAGGGCCAAGGTGAGAGTGACCGTAGCCACTTCCTGAGATTCAGTTTCTTGTTTAATACACTGTCTGTTCTGCCATATGGGTATTTATAGTGTTTATTCAGATATTAAGTAATATCTAAACATTTAAACGTTGGCAGTTGTAGGTGGAAATCCTCATCTATCATTTAACCAAAATTATTATAAATACTTGAGCAATGTGGATTATTATGAATATTTTTAGCCATGCTTGCAGTGTGACTCTAGGGATCACAGTGTCGGTCTGTCAGTTGGTTGGCTGCTCTGATTCATATTGGACTATTTCAACATGTACTGTTTGCATTGGCACAAAAATTGTACAGTCCTTCCTGGTTCCGAGACAATGAATACTAATGATTTTGGCGAGCCTCTGAATTTGCTTTAGCACCACCGGCATGATGACATTTGTGGTTTAGAGTGAAATGTCTGGACAGCTGTCAGAGGGATTGCCAAGAGATTTGGTACAGACAATCATGTCCCATGGTTAAGTGTGGTAACTGACTATTGAGGTTGCCATCAAGTCTAATGATTTGATTGTCTAGTATTTAAGGCTATGAACTAGATGCTGGACATGGTAAACATTATACCTGCTAAATAAGCATATTAACCTTGTAACTGTGAACATGTTAGCATGTTAATCTCAGCATTTATAATGTATATCATGACTATTCTTTTCAAATCTTTAGGAAAATATGATTTCAATTTGTTTCACAATGTTCGACCACCCCAGTCACCTCAAAACTGGGAAAAAAAATATTGAAATAATTGAGTTAAACGTTTATTAGGAACAATTTTAAACATATTGGACTACATCTACGTTTTTGACTGATTCCCTTATGCAGCCTCTTCCTTGTCTAAAATAAATGCAACTGTGGAGAGCTTGATGCCAAAAGTTCCTAGACCACTAGTGTTACAAGCAACCAGGTGTCACTTCCAGGCCTGGACTGATTACTTTCCACAGGCCTGGGAGTGTGCTGGGGCCACACTGACAGTCTGCTGCCTGTCCAGGGAAAATCTGGCTGGACAATGTGCTGTGTAACGGAGGAGAGAAGAGCATTGACTCCTGCAAGTCTCGCGGCTGGGGCAACAGTGACTGCACTCACGATGAAGATGCCGGAGTTGTGTGCAAAGACGAGAGGATTCCTGGCTTTGTGGACTCAAATGTTATTGACGTAAGTTGCTGAATTACATTTAAAGAGATTTTCTAATTTTTCTGCAGTAAAAAAAAATGTGTGTTCATTAAGAAGCATTTACAAGACCATAAACGTTTGCGTAAACAACCCTTCTGCTCCACAACTTATAGACAATAAGGTTTAACCCATATGGAAGGCATTCAATGCCTCAGTGCAACTCCACCTGTAGCTGCCACACACATGGTGTTGATAAGCTCTGCTCTTTACCATGTGTCTGTTAAATCTGTTAAAAACAGCAGCCTCTCTGAGTATATTGTCCTGAGGTGAGAGCTCTCAGTAATCCCAAAACGCCTCCCATAACAGAGCGCAGCATCGGTTCCTCCGACTGATTGTTTGAGCAGTTGTAGGGAAGAGCAGGGTTGTGACCTCTCGGGTCACCAGGTTCAGATGTTAAATTCCACCATTGTAATGTTGACCCGTCCCTCAGCAACATCTCCCTGTTAGGGTTTAGTAATAAGGGCAAATCTTAAAGGATTACCTCACCAAAAGACAGCAAATAAACTCATGTTTCCTCTTACCTAAGTGTTTTCTCCATTTGTATGGAGATGAATCGGAGTCTGACGTGCCTTGTAGATGACACTGTTCAGTTTGCTCTTAAAATAGGTGTTTGATTAGTAAACATTGCTGTTGACATTTTTAAATCAGGTCCAAACCTCAGCACATACTCATTATACTCATTATACTGAACTGCACTGTAGTGTAAACCGAGAAATATGAAACTTTTACCGGGATCAAATTGCAGTACCTGATATGAGCCTGATAATGGCCAGATTTAGGGTTTAATGTTTAATGTGCATCACAATGGCTCACGTTTGTCTCAATGATGAACACTGAGCAGTAAGTTGCTCTGCATATAAGCTCCTGACAAATGTCTGAAATGTAAATAATAGTCTGTTTAATCTTATATAGAAAGACAGTAAATGATACTGACGTGTCAAGCTCTACTCTTTGTGCCCTTGACAGAGGAGGCACTTCACTCCCACAACCTCCAGTGGAATTATTCAGAGACTGTTTGTATTCATGTTCTCTCAGGTGGGAACGATGGCTGAACGAATGTGAAGCAGAGTGTTTCTGAAAAAGACCAAGTGTGCTCAGTAAACCCTCCCTGGATAAATAAAGATTTAAGGTGTTTCCAGCTGGTCATCATTTTCCATTTGTCCTCTTTGATGTCCATTTGTATAACCGACTGGTCCGAGGTGAACAAGGTTAGACCGGAGACTCTTTCCAGAGACCACTGGAATGATTGGATGAGGTGTCACTGTTACATAGAAGGATCTTATGAAATGAAGTTTCATAAGAGTAAGTGGGAGGACTCTCAGATACATAACTACTCTCCCCCTCTCTGTCTGTTGCTACGAGTCTCAGTCAAATGTGGCGTCCAGACTTCACTTTGTGACCACGGGTAGTTTTTTTCCCCCAAATAAACCACAGCGGAAGTGACTCATTGCAAAGCTGGCAATCAGAGATAGCCACGTTTACCACATAGTGAGAAGATTGACCTAAAATTACTCTCCATAATAGCTATGACTCATTGTTTAGTCTCACCCTTGAAGAGATGTGCATATGTGAGCACATGTCTGGATGCATGGATGTGTCAGTGTGATCATTGTAAAGGAAAACAACCACAATGATTTTCTGCAAACAAAAAAAGGGGCATAAAAAAAAAGTTTTTCTTCACTACATCGTGTTGTTTAAGTAAAAATAAAGAAGTCCACTGATGACATTTTACAGACATAATCACTTAAGTCTTCATTAATAAACAGATACACAATTAATTTGGAATAAAATTTAAATATTGAAAGTTATTTTAGTTGATAACAAACTGCCCTGATTTTCTCCTTACAGGCTTTCGTAGATGAGAACAAGATAGAGGAGGTGCGACTCCGGCCCGTCGTCGCCATGGCCAAAAAGAGGCTGCCCATCACGGAGGGTGTTGTGGAGGTGAAACACAAAGACGGCTGGGCTCAGATCTGCGACTTGGGATGGACAATCAAAAACACACGTGTGGTCTGCGGCATGCTGGGATTCCCACATGAGAAGAAAGTCAACAAGAACTTCTACAAGTAAGTGAATTACTCGACGTCAACCATTAAAACCTGATTCTGGTGTTCACAGAAACATTTCAGCCTCCAGTGGTTTATAATAAAGGACAAGAGAGGCAGTCCGCTTAGATGTCAGGACAAATATGTTCTCTCATTTAGTTGATACAGACTCATCTTCGAGGCTACTTAAATACATAGTTTGACATTTTGGTTTTTCTACGATTCAAACACAATTTCTTTAAACTGATAAAGTATATTAAGTATCAGGACATGCAGGATCTTTGTTTGCCAGTAGCAGCAGTAAGAATTAGCAAAGCTGCTGTAACTTTCTCATTCACTCAGAATGAATGGGATGTTTGCTGCAGCCTGTTTGACATTCCTGTGGTTTTAGTCTGTAAAGCAAAGTGGCAACACGTTGACCAAACCGCAAGCAGGATCTCAGACTTTGTTTGGTAAAGAGTGGACATTATAGGAACTGCTGTTTACTTTACTTTAGACTTTCTCCAACCATCTGCCAGAACTGCAGCTTGACACAAAGCACGTGAGCCTCCGATTGTTCTGTTCTGTGTCTTACTTCTTCCGGGGATGTTTTTGTTTTTCCTTTGGATAGACAGTAAAGCCAATTTTTTTTTGTGTGTGTGTGTCTGGGTCACATACTTCACGTTCTCGTCCTCTCTTCATTACTTTGCAGCAATTTCTTAATTTTTTAATATAATTGCTGATTATTTCTCTGTTGATTAATTGATTTATTTCAGCCCTGAATAAAAATGAGTGTTTAGTTGTTTTCCTTAATAACAGGATCTAAATTATGAAGCATTAAAAGTTGTTTATGATTAAAAAACCATAATAAAAGTTTCCTTTCACAATCTATTGGGTTCATTCAATGTTGCATGCACAGAGGGGTAAAAATAACAAATAGATTAATGGTCCAATTACAACATTTAAGGCCTATTCACATAGTTTTCTTTCCAAATTACAACTATATGGACGAATGGTACGAGAGGACAGTGATTACTTCAGCGAACTCTCCGACTTCCAATTTATTTTCCCAGTTTGTTCTTCCAGTATGACTACACACATTCCTGGCTGTGCTCCAGTTGAAGCCGTTTTTTATTCATCCCCTGCAGATGGTTCACAGTAGTACGAGGGGAAATGTGTGTTTTCTCTCAACCGTGTGTGAAGGCTGAGGCTCAGGGGAATGGTCTGGGGATGGGGAGGGGAGGTTGGTTGGTCACATAATGCACAGACAACAACGACTGCAGTGAAGTCAACCTGCAGACAGTCAAATTGTTCTGTGCTGTCAGTCCCCTCTGTCCTTTTCTAGTCTTTTTGGTTCTGTTGTATGAGTGCAGGAGGATGAAGATGGACAATCATAAGTCTGAGAGTTTGGTCATAAAGGTGTTTTGAAAGCAGATATATACACACAGGCACATACTGAGACCATTTGTCAGTTGTCGAATAGTCTTTGTCATCAAATTTGACAATTTTTTTCATACCAAAATATATGTATGCCTGTTATAGTTCAACAGCATTTAAACTCATTACAGGACACTTAAAACCCACTGGAACCCAGGCTGATTAAATCATTTGTTACCAGCTCTTATTTCAGGCAAGACTTGTTTAAAAGAGTACTCCACCAATGTAACATTACACTTATCTAACTTATATAAGATATCATCTGTTTTATTCCACACATTCTTCTGCATTGTAAAAACCTGGCAACATACATTAATGTAGCAACACGACCGCTGACAGCTCGGTCAGAGACGTGTCAGAGAGTGTGTTATGCTGGTAGCTGTTAATGTAGCCTGGAGCCACTAGCCTCAAGCACAGATTTCTTATCAAGCTATAGTCTTCGGCCCCCGACTGACGCTCACTCAACAACTACAACTTGTTTCTCATATGCAGCTGCACTCCCCAGGATCTTTAACCAGGCTGTGGAGTGAAATGTGATTGATAGTAGACACTGATAAATATTACAGCAGGTTATATTTGATTTTCAAAACAATCCAAAGGAGTGAAGCTTATACTCTAATATTTAGTTATTTAGTTCTTCCCTATCTGAACACCATATCAGACTATTTAAAATTTCAATTAAATTACATATTTAAGGATTTTTGAAACTTTGAAAACTCTGAAAACTTCAAGCTTGCTGATTTTTATGTATCAGACTGGGTTCAGAACATATATTATATATATTATAATATTTTGGACCTACTGTACATATGAAGTCCTTCGAGTTTCTTTATTGTTTTCAAGTCTTTGATGACTGATGAAAACAATAAAGTAACTTCAGGGTACTTTTAAGGTTACAAAAAACTCACTTAAATTTAAAATTAGATTAAAATTAAAGAGAAATTAGGCAGGTTAGTCTGTCACTATAACTACAAACAGCACAAACAATGACTTCTATGGTATAACCAGCTAATAACAGGTAGATATTGAGGCGTTGTTGCTGCTGAATGAGACTCAGATGTCCACCATAGTTGGAATAGCTCTGTAATCGTGATTGTACATTGGTGACCTGAAGTCTGTAACATAATATACTGGAGACTTGTGGAATGTCAGAAATGTTATTCACCACTAACCCTCCTGTATGTTACCTTAAAGACCTGTGTGTGTGTGCAGCCCAGAGACTGTATGTGTGTGTGTGTGTGTGTGTGTGTGTGTGTGTGTGTGTGTGTGTGTGTGTGTGTGTGTGTGTGTGTCAGCAGCCAGTGTATGTGTGTGTTTGCATGTAGTCTCTCTCCTGTATGTGATGGAATTTGGCTGTCTCACTGTTGCAGACGTCTGAAAAAGCGAGCGGCTGAGAAGGTCTCCAGGCCAAAGGTTAATGTTTCAGCCGGTGGAAGGTACACTGTCACTGGGAAAACCCACCGTCCACCTCCGCCTGAACTCTGTAGTTCTAGTAGTTTTGACAGTGGGTTTCCTGTTGGAGTAGATAATAACCAATTTTAGCTCCTGTTTCTACCTAGTTGACCACTTCCCCTCCCTCTAATATCATATTATTATGATGTCCAGCATGTGAATGGGTTGTCCTATTTTATCCCACTAAAAGTCATGGTTGCCTTGTGTTGAGGTTTGATTTTCTGCTCATTTCTGTGTTTGTTTTGTCTTTCTTTCACATTTCTGACATGGCACAGATTGTAAAAACTGATCTAATCAAGGGTACAAATATTTAATTAATTAGAAATGTACAGTAAATGTACATAAAGTTGATTTGGTTTTATCACTAAGACCTTTTTAAGGCCCTTTTTTGATGGAACAGATGTTCTCAATCTGTGCTGTGTCTGTGACGGGGGTTTAATAGGTCCTCTTAATCTAATGCAACAGCTGGAAATCCCATTCCCCATTATGGCATGCTTTTTGGAGGAGGTCAGTCACTCTTCATCCTGGGTTCTTCAACTTAAAAAAAGTCACAGTCCACATGACAAGAGCCGACCTGTGTCTGGTTGAATCCGCAAATAATTCACAGCGTTTGTTAATCTGCTGGGTGGAGTTTGCCACGTTGGATGATGAGAGAGGAAGTCAGTCCATCATTCTTTTTTTTGCAGTTATTACGTGACGCCGTTGATTTATAAAGTGTCCTGAGGTCGTAAAACTGCACAAAGTAGGCGCTCTAAGGAGATAAAAACAAGCTATTATCGTGGATAACGAATAACAATTAATATATTCTTCTATATTAAAGCTCACCGGATGCTTGTGGTGTTAAAAATATATCTTCCAAGGATAAAGCTGGCTTTCTATATTTTCATGATTGTCAACAAATCCCATGAAAGTATCAAACCAGCAATCCTTTTGACCATCAACACTCAACCTCAACACTTTCTAACTTCCCGACCCTGTCTGTCCACTCATCGCCAAACCTATTTGTTACTACTGAAGACGTAAATCTTTAAAAATAGTTCAGAAATATTTATTTTCATTTAAATAAAAAGGCTCAGTGATTACCTAAAACAGGTAGATACTGTAGTTTTTAACTAGCTTTATTCAAACAGGAGAAACTAATGCATTTGCAAATTAAAGCGGGCAAACTCAGTAACTGTTTAATTTATCTTATTTTATGTTTTGGATTTTATTCACTTTAATTAGTTATTTTTACTGTAAAGCACTTTGTAACTTTGTTTTTTTTGTTCAGGTTTGTTTTCGTATTGGAGCCATACTGAGTCTCCAGATGTTAAAACAAGATAATAATCATTTGCAGATTCTAAAAGACGATAAAAAATAACATATAATATTAAAGAGTTTTTTAATTTTCACAGTATTAAACTTTTATTCTAAAACCTGTGCTGAAAAAGTTGAAGAACCCACTAACATAGTGTGTATGGTTTATGATATTACCATGTAACCTGTCGCTGTGATATTACACCTACCTAAAAGCAGTGCCATATATCAAACAAAATCAATGTGGTAACTTGAAGTTCACATTGGCTACAATCACAGTTTGTACTAACAAACATGTTATTATGCATTACATGTCATAAACTACGTGGCCAAAGGTATGTGGACAACCAAACAGTTTCCACTTCCAGTTCATTCCAAAGGTTCAGCCCAGTTAAGTTCTTAAGCACCAAACTGGGAAAATCATATCTTTATGAACCTGGCTTATCATGTTTAAATGGAAAGGAGCCATCCCCAAACTACAGTATTGTTAAATATATCATTGTATGCAGTAGCATTAAGAAAAGTGTGTGTCCACATACTTTTGGCTGTGCAGTGTCGCTGATGAAACATGTCAAAATAACCAACAAATGTTTTAATTCTTTGTCACGTTTCTGTTTACTTACACGAATTTAAAAAGGATGTGTCACTTTGTGTTTTGTGCAACTTATTACGTATCACTGTATGTGTTAACAACTGTACTTAACCACTATGTTGAAGGAGACACATCCTTTTGAACTGTGTTTTTAACATAATTGTGCATCACGTAAACCTTTGTTACTATGGTTTTTCACTTTGTCACCTCGTGTTCTTTCTCCTAACTGTGCAGTCTAACCCGTGTTTACCTTGCAGGCCGACATCCAAAGCTAAAGCTAACTCTAAGTCTAAACAGAGCAGCCCTGGCAAAAGGTAATCTCAGGGTAAACAATTCAGTGGGTAAATTCAAGCCCACACACATGCTGCTCGCAGACAAACGCAATGTAAACTGATAAGAAAGTCAGAGTAAAAAATGTTGGATGTTCCCATTGAATAGAAAAGGCTAATTCTCTCCACCACATCCCCTCCAGTATGAGCACCTGCTCCGCACATGTGGCTGATTACTAGGAACATCCGTGATTGTCAGAACAAAAGCCTTTAACTAAATCCAAGAACAGTTGAAGTTTGTTTGTTAATTCTCAACATATTGTCAGATGTTTACTTGTGACTACTGTGAATACAACTAAGGCATTAATTGGTTAATTCAATCAGTTGCTGTGTCCCAGGTCCACACTATTTTTTGTATAGAATCAGTTTGTACTGTAGTGTGGATTTGGGACACAGCTATTGTTTCCTGCCATTATAGTCCCTTCCCCTGTCTCTGCTCCTTCCAGGTTGTATTTGGAGCGTCAGAAGAGCTACTTCCACGTTCACTCTGTGGCGTGTACGGGCACAGAGGTCCACCTGGCAGCCTGCCCCCTGGAGTTCAGCAAGAGAAACGCGACATCGTCCTGCGAGGGCGGCATGGCGGCCGTGGTCAGCTGCATGCCGGGGCCTCAGTTCATGCAGAACAGTGGCCTGAAAAAGAAACTTAAAACTTCGGTAAAGTAGTCTTTAACTAAGACGGCAGCTCAATGGGGCCTTTTCACAGCAGACATGACTCATGACAAATTAACTTGACTTTTTTTTAATCTAATTTCTGTTTTCCACGTCCACCTTGACCACAGTTTGAATTTTTTCTCTGTAAAGTACTTAATTCATTTCATTTAAAGCCTGTGTGTTTACCTGCTGCTGAGGTGGAATCTGTACCTTAAAGAGCTGAATTAAATTAGTCACCTTACAGTCTTCCTCAGCAGATGGAGTTTGTTCTCATGGACTAATGGACTCATTAACTTCTGGACGAAAGGTCCGGAAAAAGCTAATTAGTGGACCTTGAATAACATTTTATTTATTTATTTTTGTTTCCAACAAGAAAACAGAATTCTATTTTTCTGTCTTTATTATGTAAAAGATTAAATTATCCTTTTATATGTCTTCTGGCTGTCTAGAGCAACGTGAGGCTGAAGGGAGGTGCCAGGCTGGGCGAGGGTCGGGTGGAGGTGCTGAAAGACAACGAGTGGGGAACGGTGTGTGATGATCGCTGGAGCCTGCAGTCAGCCAGCGTCGTCTGCAGGGAGCTCGGCTTCGGCAGCGCCAAGGAGGCTCTCACCGGAGCACGCATGGGACAAGGTTTGGAACAAAATATCATACATTGATGAAAATGTGTTGGTTTTGAAAGGTTTGGTAATTGAATGATGAATTAAAAAACAACAAGAGCATTTAAATGCTCATCTGGATTTAGCCAGCATAAGTAGCCCAGGGTTATCTAAGAAGTCTAGAACAAAGTTATAAGTTCTGGTGGTTGAAGTCAGGGAGCTAACACCAATCCAGCGTGCCTCCTCGGTCGGCTTCAGTGCCTTTTGACTGCAGGTAAAGAATCTTTTTTTTTCGGTTTTGTAACTTCAAACAGAAGTCCAGTGAAAGAGTAAAAAGGAAGTAGTCACCCGCGTTTGACAGGAGCCCAAGAAATGTTGGAATATTCAACCCAAGTGTGACTTGGCACGGTTTGAGAATTGGCCTCAAAATGTCCGGCTGCAGTGGCAGAGCTCCATCCTGTAGGGTCTTTCTCACCCACAGAGGTTTGACTCAACCGTTCGTCTGTGAGCCCAAATGAGCTTTTATACACCGCAGAAATAACAGAAATAACAAAAGACATGACTGATGGTGGCAAAAGTAAACTGTATGTTTAAAATTCTCAGTATTTGTAGCACCAAAGTGATAATAATAGTAATTTAGACCCTGGAGCTGTAAAATCTGTAAAAGACTTCACTCATCAGCTGTCTATCTGCAGCTTGTCTCTCAGGTCATCTCTTCACCCCCAGAGCACTGATAATCTGCCCTTAACAAGTCCACATTCCTACACGGATTCCTCATTTGAAGCTTATTTTAATCAGGAAAGGAATGTTGTGCTTGAGGAAAGAAAAGAAACAAAGACAAAAATACTTAAAAGAAAGAACTTCACCACAGTAAACAGATTAGTCATTTTCTGACCTACTTACTGCAATAATAGACAATTCTTAGTGTATCATTTCCATCAAGATTATTTCTTTTTCACAAATACAAGGCAACCACCTTCCACACACACAAACACACTACAATCCTCCCGTACAGTTCCTCATTTATGAAATAGCTCTCTTCTGTGGGTATTTCTGTCTATTAGACATTTTTAGAACAGAAAACCATCTGTGTTATTCGAGTTAGGTTGTCGACTATTTCATGTGAAAATGAGGCAGTGCTTAGACAGCTTGTGTCTAAGCATGAAAAATACTTCATACCAGAGTGATTAATACCGGTGTAACAGTTGATAAATTGTAGTTGTTATGTTATAATTTGGTATTTTGCAATTGTGACTTGTCCTTTCTGGACACACACACAGTTACAGTACCATATTCATTTCCTCTGTTGGCTGAAAACTGCTTAGAAATTTGGCTAAAGAGCAAATCTGACTCAACATTCCTCACTGATGGCAGAAAAGCAGCCAGGATGGCAACCCCAAAGCTCAATGAAGTAGTTTGTGTGTGTGTGAGTATGTCTCCTTAGTAATGAAATACGGCTACATTAGGCTGGTGTTTAATTTCAAACAGCTGTTTTTAAAATGGTAATTATAGATAAGGGATTTGATTTCTGCCAAAAGAAATCCTTAAACTCATATGTTTGTTCATAAAATAATCTCACAGCAACATATCGGTTCAACTAAACGTCCTCAGGCTGCAGAGAGAGCGAGCGCCAATCCACCTGACTCTGGTGTGGTGAATTAGTAATTAAAGGGCAAGACACTTTGTTATTCCCTATATATTAGGCCACCACAGAGATATCTCTCTTTACTAAATACAGTATTTATTACTTAATACTGTACATACAAGTGTTATCCAGTTCCATTATATTTGAGAGAAGGAGGACATACCTCCAAAACTCAGCAACTCACACCAAAATAATGTAGATGGATGAATATAGCACTCACTGGGTGAACCGTCCCCTTAAGTGTTGTGCCAGTGCTGCCGTGTCACCTAAATATTACAGTATTTATCTTAGTGTGTGTGTGTTCCTCATTAGTGATTGAACATGGAGGTGTGTGTAGTTTTTTGATCAACTGCCGTGAGATTCCACCAAAGAAGAAACAAACAAGTCTCTTGAAGGGCAGTTCTCAGAAACGCTGGGCTGGGATGTCTGCTCTAGTGTGTGTACGTTATGATTTCTACCACAGAGGAAGTCGGTGGAGGAGACTCTTCACAAAATCTCTTTGAGGCAGCAGCATACCGGCTCTGTGCTCAGACCACCACCTGGTTGGATCATTGCAAGAAGCATTCCTTAAACGTCACTGAAGTCGGAAACGAGCGCCGCTGAAGGAATTCCTTTCATGGAAAATCTCATAATACAGTCACCTCATGGTGCTGTTACTCAAAGTGATGGAGTGAGAGTTTAGCGGGTGAATGTAAAGGAAGGTGTCACTGACAGGGAACATGCATGCTCAGCAAACATGCCTCAGGTTAAAAAGTGGATTAGTTTCTGGAAGGTACTGTATATGTACTGTATGGAAATCTGAAACAATATCACAGCTGAATTCTAAGCATCAAACAGCAAATGTAATGTACAATCTGGGCGTCTAGATGCACCTCTATGTGCCTTTGTATAGTCCTGTCTGCTGTTATGATGAAAAGTAAGTTACTTGTGACTTTTTCATATTAATTAGTGTCTATTTTGCTCTTTTTGTTTTGCGTCTCTGTGGTGCAATGAAACAGTGATTCCATCCGCATCCAGTTCATCAGAGACTTTACATTTTTCCAGGGCAGAATTAGACAGTAGCAGTAACATTAGTATAATATGAATTAAGTAGAACGGCGTAGACAGAATGATCAGTAACTGCTACCATAACAACAACAAAGACAAGATAAAGTTCCTGAACAGAGAAAGACATCACTGTTTGTTTGATTTGGTCCTTCGGTCAGAGAGAAAGTCAGCAGTGGTTGTTTGAACTGACCTGGATTGTTCTAATCTGATCTAAGCACCTTATTAAATGGGTTCAAACTCATTAAATGCTGCAGTGGTAGCAACATATAAAGAACTTGTGACCCGATAAATCATGTTTTTATGTAACCGTCAGTTAAAAATATCTTTAAATGAGCTGGCCAATTTCATGAATAGCGATCTGAAAATATCTGAAAGTTATTTGTTTACTTGAGAAGCTCTAAATATGGAAGTGGAAATATAAAGAAATCTACCTTTTTTTAAACCTTTAAGCCGCTGTCTGTCTGTGTGACTGTCTGTCTGTCCAGGAATGGGTCCGATCTACATGAACGAGGTGAAGTGTCTCGGTCAGGAGAAGTCCATCTGGAACTGCCCCTTTAAGAACATCACGTCAGAGGACTGTCAGCACATGGAGGACGCTGCTGTCCGCTGCAGCGTGCCCTACATGGGACTCGAGAGCTTGGTCAGAAATGAACCTCCTTACTTAAATGTTTCATTTTGAAATCGTGCTTTTAACTTGAGTAAACATTAGAAAGCTGATTTAATTGTTTAAAACTGTTATCATAATATTTATTGCATCAGCCAGTACAGGATTTTACTTTCTCATGCTTTGATAAATGTAGCATAGGAAAGAAGTTGAACAATGTTATACTGTGTTTATTGTATTACCCCTTCATTTAGTTAAGTCTTTTCTGTTTGCTCTGACATGTAGAGATTTAGAGCTGATACTCACAGAAATCTTTTAACTCCAAACCAACACTTCTTCACTGCTGTCACAAACAACAGTAACATCATTTGTCATTTAGTCTTTTCCATAGTTTAAAGTTTCATATTGGTTTGTGCTGAATTAGTTTAATAGTTTGAAACCAGCTCAGACCTAATTTATTGTTTTAAAAACATGTCAGAGAGGCAACTGTGGTTTGTGACAACAGTGAATTCCTTTTAACACAGAGTATTTCTGGTTGTGCAGTCTGTATTTTACCAAATTATACTCTTGTTTCCTGTAGATACACATAGAGTGCGGTAGCAAGTGGGATAAAAACTCTAACAGATAAAAATAGTTATTATCCCGTCCGGCCCTTGTGTATCTATACTCTGCTTTGTGGTGTCTAACCCCTCGGCCCCACGCAGATCCGAATCACAGGAGGACGTACCCGTTACGAAGGCCGTTTGGAGGTGCTGAGCTCAGACTCTAACGGGACGCAGAGCTGGGGTCTGATCTGTGGAGAGTCCTGGAGCACCAAGGAGGCCATGGTGGCCTGCAGGCAGCTGGGCTTGGGCTACGCTAACCAGGGCCTGCAAGTAGGTTATTAACACCAACTAGAGCTGCTTTAACCAGTTGTCTTTTAGTATATTTGACATATGCAAATATAATATACTGTCATAAACACCACAAAAAAAGAAATTCCTTGTAATTAATTACAGTGAATACAGTTAATTCTATGCATATACATTCAGATATGTGCAGCATACTAATACTGGTTATTAGAACTGATAAGACATTCAAATATATTCCTAAAAATAACTATCTTGCTAAATCCTGATGTATATATTTCTGGAATATACTTGAATGCCTGTATTAATGTCTGACAGTACATTATAAGTTCCATATGGAGTAGATGTTTCTTTCCATTCATGGAAGAACACAAATACTGCTTGGGTCTCTTCTGTGTGGGCAGACCTAAACAGACTCACATGAAGTTTCTAATCAAACTCAAAAGCCACTCACCACTAAAGCCAAGTCGTGACCTCATCTGGAAACCACGTTGACGTTTTCCAGAAAAAGTGTAACCAAACTGCTGCTTCAACGACGCACACTCTCCACTGCCGGAGGACTGTATAGGAGTGACATTAGTTTCAGTTCAGACAGCTCAGAGACAGGACAGGAAGTGTGTCCTTTCACTGACTCCCAGCAGGATATTTCTGCAGATCCGGATAGTGGGCGGCCGGAGCAATTATGAGGGCCGGGTGGAGGTTCAGGTTGGCTCCAAGTGGGGCACAGTGTGCAGCACTGGCTGGACCACAAAGGAAGCCATGGTGGTTTGCAGGCAGCTAGGGCTCGGATACTCCATGCATGCCATCAATGTAAGTAGGAGCAAAGATTTAAATGAAGAGAGATACTGAATAAATGTATTGTTTTAGAATTATTGTCATGACTCTAAATAATAAGAAGCAGGAACATCTTGATTTTAATTAGGAAATAAGGCTTAGTTGTGTTATGTTGTTATGTTCTAGGTTTCAGTGTGTAACGGTAAATTATTCCAGTCAAAGAGTCTTGAATAAAACTGAGTGAACAAAGAGGTAAAGCTTATCAGATTCTGTATACAGTATATACTATATTAAGGAATATGGTTATAGACTAGAATTAAAAGGACTGTATTTGAAATCAATATGAACCAATGAAGTTGATTTAGAGATTTAAAGAGCTCCATACGTATCACAATGATGGTATGAAATTAACGTTTCAAAATAAATCAACATAAATTCTTAAATGACATTTAAAGGTTAAAAATAAGTTTAGTTTTTGAAAATATGACACAAAGAATTTATTTCGAATTGTGATTATGGTTCTTTTTAGACAAAAAAAAGTATAAAAGAGTTAGATTCCTGTTTCTGGTATTACACCCAATAGTGACATCCCAAACTTCCCAGGTCATTGTTGAACCTTTCAAAGTCTGCTATGTTAACTGTGTTGCATTTAAATCCAGTGAACTGGGAGGAAATTAGAGAATTTGTATGTACTGATGTGCAGTACAACAAAATTAGGGAGTCTATCTTTAAACATGCAGCAATAAATGTCAAGTTTTGGAGTCAGAAATCCATTTAAAGAGACACAGTTTCTACACCCACAGAATAAAATATACCACAGTTACAGGGCAAGACTTATTCTGTGGCTTCTTGCAAGTGTAGTAAATTATTGAGTGAAGTAGAAGTAAGTATGTATGTAGACTGAGGGAAAGTGGGCACACCAGAACATACAAAATTATTATTCTTCATGACAATATTACAAGTGGAGTTCACCAGAAAATTCTGATATATGCAATGATGGATTTTTTTTCCTTTTAAACTCTAGTTTTAAGATATTCAGCAATCTTTAAAAGTAAAAAACAAATGCTATTGTAAGCTGCATACCAGAGCAACATGATACAAAATATTTAAATATAGTATAGTGCTGTGGGAATGAAAAACACTTCCAGTAAGCAATACGATTATTAAACCACTCAGTATCTGCAGAAAGTCATTGTCCTCCAGTGATCATAAACTCAGCATTACACTCTGTCCTCAGTGAGCAGCCAGAAATGAGTCATGAACATCTGTTTTTCAGAGCAGCAACATCAGACTGAACTCTGTGAATGCTTAACTCCTGTTTCCTTTTTTGTTTGCACGTGTGTCCTTTTTTTCTATTGTCTGAACCCTCCGGATTTAAGGAAACCTGGTACTGGGACAGCAGCAATGTGACCGAGATGATAATGAGCGGCGTGAAGTGCACCGGGAACGAGATGTCTCTGAGTCAGTGCCAGCATCACAAAACTGTCAGCTGCCAGAAGTCGGCAGCAAAGTTTGCAGCCGGAGTCATCTGTTCTGACAGTGAGTGACAGCAGCAGAAACAAATGTGTTTAGACTAACTGCTCTGTTTACTGACAATCCTCAGAGACATATTTAGTTGATTTGTTGAAACTCCAAGAGGCTTAAAAAAAAACATAGAATCACAAAAGAGAACAAAAAAACAAGATTCAACATGTATTTATGATGGAAATCATGACTGACTGTAGTCTGTGTTGTTACAAATTTCTGTTTCAGAGAGGGGAACTCTATCTTAAGCTTTCTACTACTTTTGTCTGATGCTATTTTGTGGTTTCTGGTCATTAGCTGTGACTAATGTGGGTCTGTAAAGCTCAGTACGATTGTGATGAAGTAAGGTGGCCCTGAGAGCTCAACGCACTGCAGCTAAAGACACAAACAAATAGACAAAACACAAATAAATCGAGCAACCAAATACAGACGACGACAGAAACTGCACACAGCTGAGACCCGCTTGTTGTTGCCACAGTTTGTGTCTCATGAAGTTATTGAAGTCAGCTGTCTGTAAGTAGTGTTGGAAAATGAGCTAACAACAAGCATGTCCCGGCCGTGTGCATCACTTTTAATGTCCCCTGTGCAACTTGTAAATCCAGCTGGTTACAGTCCATAAATATTTGATTTGGCACTCATTTTACTCTCCGGTGTAATTAGAACTTTTAACAGTTTTGTGATATCCTGTACTGTACTGAGCCTAATCGTGCTCCTATCCCATATTCCCAGCGGCCTCTGACCTCATCCTGAACGCCCCACTGGTCCAGCAGACAGTTTACATCGAGGATCGCCCTCTGCACATGCTCTACTGTGCTGCAGAGGAGGACTGCCTCTCGAAATCTGCAGCCAAGGCCAACTGGCCCTACGGACACCGACGCCTGCTCCGCTTCTCGTCCCAGATCCACAACATCGGTCGGGCTGACTTTAAGCCAAAGGCTGGACGGCACTCGTGGGTCTGGCACGCCTGCCATGGGTAATATTGTCTTCACTGGCAGCTCTGTTTATATGACGTTCAGTCCAGAGTTTTAATGATGCATTAATCTAATCTCATTGGCTCTGAGTTGAGTCTCAGTGGGCGGAGATAAAGAAAAACTCTGGAGTACAAGCAAATCATCATCATTATTTATGTGTTCCTATATTATACACAAAATTGAGTTCAAGAATAAGTAAGATTAAGTCATCGCAGCAGAAAACATAGATACAGATAAAAATACAAGATTAACGCTGGAGATAAATAAGAGTAAGTGCATATATGTTTATATTGTCTGTGAATTTAATTTATAAGCTAGACATAAACCCAAAACTCCTCCAACGCTTGAGTTTCTTCCCCCTGAGTCAGCTGATAAAACACAAACTCAGAAAGAGGAGTGGGAGGAGAGCCGAAGTGTGTCCTCCTCCGTCATCATTCTGTAGCCTCTCGGGCAACATAGAGAGATAAAAGCGGGGGAGGAATTCTGTTTGCTGGCATGAAATTAAATTTTGGATTAAAATGCAGTAGAAATGTAGCCTCAGTTTTTATTCCAATATGCTTCGTTATGTACATTAAAACCATCATTCAATACTTATTACAATATTATAGTACCTTGTGTATAGTTCCACTTTCTGTCAATGTATGCCACATATACAGAACGTTATCTATCTATTTTATAACAGAATCAAAGCTGTATTTCTTCCTGTAAAGTTGTCTTATTTTCACAACATCTCTAACATTTTAGATTCTAAAAAATATCATAATGTATTTCAATTCAATCTAGTCATTACCCAACATCCTGTTTCACCACCTGTCAGCTGAAGGAAATCAGAGTTTCACATCGATTTCATAGGCCCTTTAAGTCTCTTAAGCATTAAGTATGTCACTTTTTTGAATGGTGTCATTAACAACAACATGTTCTCTGTATTATACAGTCACTACCACAGCATGGACATTTTCACCCACTATGATCTGCTGAACGCTAACGGTAGCAAAGTGGCAGAGGGACACAAAGCCAGTTTCTGTCTGGAGGACACGGATTGTCAAGAGGGTGAGTTTGATGCTTCAAATTCAAACAATAAGATAGAAAGGTTCAGTGAACGGAGTATATCCTACTTCAGGGCACTATCGGAGCTGTCACACCTACCTGGTACGAGTGATAATAGTGACATAGATCTCTTAGTAAATCAAAATTCACAGTTAAAAAAAGGATTTGTCCAATTAAATATCATTGAATTGCTGAATGTCAGTGAATCTTTTTCCACCCAGGTGTTTCTAAGCGGTACGAGTGCGCCAACTTTGGCGATCAGGGCATCACTGTGGGCTGCTGGGATTTGTACCGTCACGACATCGACTGCCAGTGGATCGACATCACAGACGTCAAACCTGGAAACTACATTTTGCAGGTGAACATTTGTGACTGTCATTCGTACAACAGGAAGCAAATACAGCCCAAATAGTTCTTAGTGCTCGGTAAAATATAAAACTTTACATAGATATACATTAATATCAACCAAAAACTCATCACCAAATCCATTACATATAATAAAATAGTGCTAGAAGACTGAAACATTCCAACTTTGATGAAGTTAGGCAGCTTTATAGACTCATAGATACAATTTAACTACAGAATTTGCAGCTGCAAATCAAACTATTGTAAACAGCTTATTTTTGACCTTCTGCAGTTATAAAGTTCCTCTGCCTCTCTTTTCTTATTCCCCCCTTCTGTCTGTCTCACGCTGTCTACTTTATAGACGAAGGTATGTTTGGATATCTTCAAAACACGTCCATATAGTTCCATATTCACTCTCCTCTCCCCGCAGAACCAAATAATCCACGAACTATAAATCATCATCATTAACGTTTCTCACCTCTTCAGATTGTGATCAATCCGAATCACGAAGTGGCTGAGAGCGACTTCACCAACAACGCAATGAAGTGCAACTGCAAATACGACGGACATCGAATCTGGCTCCACAACTGCCACGTTGGTGAGCAGCAGTCACAAAACACTAAAATCTATCAGATGTTGATGTAAAATGTTGGCTCCTTTTTTTAAACTTTTCTAACTGCTTTACTCATTGTTCTTTATTCCCTGCAGGTGATGCATTCAGTGAGGAGGCAGAGAGGAGGTTTGAGAAGTACCCTGGACAGCTCAATAACCAGGTTTCTTAATCAAGAGTAATTTCAGCAACTATATGAGACCTAAAGTGGGGGTTGAATTAATAAACACACACCTCACTGGCTCTAAAAGCGAGGAACAAACCTTTTTGTTTTCAATGGATTCCCCCACATATCTCAGATTATCATGGAAGAAACCAACAGTACTTTCTTCTAGTGAATGTGTTGTATGTCTGAGTCATTATACTTGAATATTCAAGTGCTTATGTTTTTTTTTATTTTATTTTCTTTTCTCAGTCTAATGTGAGCTAATGCTATATTTTTATCACAAAAAAAGGATTTTATAAAGTCGTACAGTCTGCGTATGACTAATGTACAGCCTCCTATTGAATGTTTTTATTCCAAGTTATGAATGAGGTGTTATTTTTTTATAACCAGTTTTTATTTTCTTTACTTGGAGCAGGCTGGTTCAGAACTACCTGAGGTGTAAGCATTAGCTATAACACATTTAGAAACCTAAAAACTGAGGCATGAAGAGGAGCAAATGCAGCTCTGTGAAGGTCTTACTGGTCTTGAGTGAACGTTCATACTGGGCATTATGGACAGAAGAGATAGACTGTCCCATTTTCTAAAAAAAAACCTGCAGGTGCCTCAGATTAGAACATGAGATATTACATGTATAATTCACTCTGGATTGGATTGTAATCTTGAAGGATGAATGTAATTGAGCATGTTGCTCAAGAGAAAAGAAGGTTTTCACATCAGTTTTCTGCCCTCTTTGTTCAGAGGAATGGTTTTGCTTCAACATGCCTGCCTCCGCAGCTCCAATACTTTGTGAATGTATTTATTCCTAATATCAAGGTGCTCACGAACAACACTTGTTCAATATCGTTATCGTCAGTTCGAAGGGACTTCGCAACCAGTTTGATGCTAGCTCTAGTCTGTATGTATTACTAATAGTCATTTAGAGTCAGAACATAGATGTTATTGGGCAAAGACAAAAAAACTACAATTACCTTCAAGGATTGCTGTATGTATGCTGATGTAATCACTCCCGCTGCACCAAATAAAAAGGAGAGGAATATTAATTGTGTCGTATCTAAGAGACTTATTTGAGTAGAAGTTCACAGGGCAGTGGTTCTCCACCACTACTTCCACCACTTGTGACTAATTCAGACCGCAGCTTATTTTCTGTCTGTGTTTTTTATTTGAAACCCTTAAAATCCTCTAAAAGATTAAAGGGAAGTCTGAAACTTGTACATAATTTAGGGTTACAGATATGTTTATTTTCTGCTTTCTTAACATGATAACAATCTCTTTTCCTTGTCCTTGTTTCTAAAACTGTCACCAGTTCACTGTTCGTGTCCAATGTGGCCTTTATTATAGCCTATATTCGCTTGACAGACTCACAGCGCAGTCGTTTGGAAACAAAACACTTGGACTGTGATGAATGAGCCGTTTGGTATATTTAAAGCTGTAAAAAGAGGTCAAACTACAAAAGATAAACTAAAGTTTCTACTGAGGTTGGGGTGAATTATTTTAACTACTATTTAAGAAACAAAATGATTTTCAGATTAAGTCCAGTTTGACAAAGATAAATTAAAGAATCGTTACCATTAATTAAAGATCTGATTCCTGACCGATACCGAGTTTTGAGAACAGCTTCCAGTCTTGTGCTGCTAATCTGAGAGTTCATCTCAAATCTACTTCTTCTAATCCCAGCCTTTGCTGCCGTGGTTGAACAATCCCATTAACCTCGGTTACCAATCACATTAACCGTGTGCACTGCATTACAAGTCCCATCATGTTTAACACTGAAGTGGGAATGCAGCCCAGTCCAAACAGTGATGGTTGCTGAGAATAAAACCACTAAAACACATTCAAACCTTCATTAACATCCAGACAATTACTCATCAGATGTGTTTACTTTGTTTACCCTCAAACTAACTGATTAATCTGTCATTTATTTTGTTGTTTAATCAATTGTTCCACAGAATCTAAGAAAATAGCCCAATGTAACGTCTTCAGATATCACCAATACTCAAAACCCCCAAAATATCCAGTTTACAATGTTAAAAAATAGAGAAAAGCAGAAGCTGTTCTTGAAAAATGTCTTAAATGATTCATGAATGATCCTAATGATCGTCAGCTAATGAAGTAATCAATTCATCATGGCAGCTCTGCTCCACACCCTCAATTAATTCAGATTAAGGGTCTGAAATATTGAGATTATTGAGATGCATTGTATGTTTTTCAGTATTTTCCTGCTCATTTTATACACTTTCTCCCAATGTTGAGGTCATTTTAAGAAGAAAAACTGCTGTTCTTAAAACCTCACTGACTTGAAACCATGTATTCATTTCATTTTTTTTTTACACAAAATCAGTTTAAAGACAGTGTTGCCTTTTAAATGTGTGTTTTCCATCCTTCCTCACACTAAAGCTGCAGGTTACCTGAGTTTCTCTTGAAGTCTTCACCTCTGATCATCATCATCATCCCATCAACCTGCACACCCGGCCTGACAGAAGAGGATTAAGACTGGTTCAGCAGCACGTTGTCATACATGAGCGGCTTAATACCGGCCTGACACAACAATGTGGAAAGCTGCACACGGCGCCTCCTAGAGGGCGGCAGCTTCAGGTGCAGGACCAAAGGACAAGATTGTGATGGGGAAAAATACTGAGCGTGAAAGCATTTCACTCGTTAAAGGATGTTATTGTATATTATTTATACACTAAACCAAATGATGGGGCTGTTAAAGAGTGACCATGGTTGGATAAATACCCCACAAATCCTTGGGTTTGTGTGCATTGTCTCAAAGTAACAATCAAGCACACAAAAGACTACAAATGGGAGATTAATTAGACTTTCCCTCCAGCTCCAGAAACCAAACTTATTTTCTGTAAATTAATCCATGAGGGGTAATTTGATTAAGAATATGACAGAGACAAGGCCTTGAGATTAGATGATAGGAGCCACCATGAGGCCCTTACAGTAACAGTTATTATTGTGCTTTAGTTGCAGTTAATTAAACTACAAACTGCCACAAACCAGTTGACATCAACATATCTTGGATGCTGCCACTATGGTATATATATCTTTTGAATGTACAGTGTACAATAAGTGAGTCATCACAGTTTCTATTTGACTTTTTTTTATGATTACTATCATAAATAGAGTCACACTCACAGACTCTAAAAAGAAATTGTAAATTAAAAATGGTCATTAGACCGATTAAAACTATTCTGGAGGCAAGATAAGTGCATTCAGTGATGACTTTGGTTGGGTGCTGGATCAAAAACATACTCTATGAAACAGAAACACCTTCACATAAAATAACACGTCTGTGTATCAGAAGTCTAAAGAAGAGCCTTGTGCTTGAAACATCATAGAGTCTAACAATTGAAGAGAAATAAAGATTCACACTGATTAAGTGGAAACTCCGATAATCATTAATTTACTTTATATACATTACACATCATGAGAAGACAGTAATGAGTAAAAGAACATGTTGGGGTGACGATACAGAACAAATGAGAAAGAAAACGAAGCACAAACACGAAAAACAAAAGGCAGCGTGGCCTCGTGGTTCAAACTGTCCAACACACATCCAGAGGTGTGGTCAGACATCCAGCTCAAACTTCTGCTAATGAAAACGACCTCAGGTATTTTACTTAGTCCCGACAGGCGCGATTACATTCTCACACTGAATGTCTGAAAACAAACTCCAAACTGAAGCGGTGTCGTCGCGGCGTTTCATTGCAGTATCGTCTTTTTAACGACTCTCCCTTGTTTGTCGAGGGCGAAGTTGTAATTCTTTGGACTGTCCAGAGCCTCTTCGATACGCTGATCCAAGTTCTCCAAGGTGATGAAGTTCTTCGCTTCCTCCTGTGAGAGATTGAAGGTCAGAAAGTCAAAAAGAAAAGCCAAGAAGATCAAGTTTGCTGGATTCTTTGATTTCACAGACTCCAAAATAAACATTCAAAAGTAGCTTTTTAGAAGAGAAAACAGAGAAAATCTTACCTGCAACTGTAAAATCTCTCTCTCTTTTTCTTTGAGGAATTCCTGCTCGTCTTGTTCCTGCTGGATGTCAGCTTCTAACTGCTTGTACTCAGCTTCCTCCTTTTCCTTCTGGACCCTCAATATCCTGTAAAATACAAAAAAGGAGAATAAAGTTGCTGTTTTAATAAGACACAAACCCAGTATCTGCGTCTTTAGAGGAGGTTTTTGGCCTTCGTGTTGTCTTCTTACCTGAGTTTGAGCAGGCGGAGGTTCTCCCGGTTGTTCCAGTCCATGAGGGCGCGATGCTCCTCCACCTCCTGCCTCGTACGCTCCTCCGCCAGGGAGCCCGTCTCCTCCTCGTACTTCTTCTGAAGCACTTCCTCCTTAAACTCCAGGCTGACAAACACAGAGGAAAGAACCTGGTCAATTCATTCATTCATTTCAACTATTTAAACTTCAGGCAAATTTAAATCAACATGATGTATGATACTTTTTTTTTTTTTTTTTAAGAAATTATATGAAAATGAAAAGAATACCGAACAATTCTTTAAATTATTTGCATTTTTAATTAATTTGTCAATAATGTTCTGAAATTATTATATATTATTATTATTATTATTGCTAATAAATAATGAAAAATGCTCATCACATCATTCCCAGAGACCAAGTTGAAACATTTAAATCAATTGTAAGATATTCAGTTTACTATCTTGGAGAAAATAAAGAAAAATGTTTCACAATATTTACAATATTCATAAGCTAGAAACAGTGAATTCTAGACATACTTTTCTTAACATGGTAAATAATTTCCTGTAAATTGATTAATTGATTAATTTCTGCTGTAGTTTGCATATCGAACTGTTCAATTTAATAGAAACCAGGTTGATTATTATTCTATTTAGCAGACAAAGGTATGTTTCAGATGTATGCAGATTATCAGGGATTTAAATTAAATATTCCTCAAATGTCTTTAAAGAAAATATTAAACTTCAACACAGTAATAAAGGATGTTGCGTTTACGGACATATTTAAAAAGCAGGAAAACAGAGTTTCACATTTCAGGTATTTTATAACAGATTAATAATGTAAACGTACCGAAGCGCGCTCATTAACAGCTGGTACTCCGAGTATCTCTCCTTGAGGACGACCATCTCCACCGGGTCGACCTGTGAGGGCACTTTGATTCGCCCCTCCTTGGACTTGGCTACCGGGTCGGTGCGGGACTTTCTGCCGCGGACAGCCTCCACGATCACGGCGCTCCGGGGTGCGAGGAGCCGGGCCGCCTGCACGCTCCTCCCGCCGAGCACCTGGAACATGTCGGCGTCGAAAGCTCGCAGACGGTCGCGGATTATTAGTCGGTGAGTGAAGCGGTTATTCGCGGCGTGTGCGTCCGAAACGTCCGTTAAGGAGTTCACATTGGTGTCCTCTGACATCGGAAGTAGTTATCTGTTTGCTCAGAGGTTGTTTGGCTCTACCGCCATCTGTAGGCGAGAGAAAGGGGGGATTTATAACAGTCTGCACTCCTCATGGATGTATTAATACAGAGTTTTTATTGTTTGTGACTCTTCTGTACTAGTTGTTGTTGTTGTTGTAATATAACGGCCAGTCCTTAAACTAGATTGCCAGTTAGTTTAACAGGTAAGTGACCAGGTAAGTGAGTGATTGTCAAAGATTTTGTTACTAATATAAAGTGTGTAGTGTATAATGTGGTGGCTCTAATGTATTATCATGAATGTAATTAGTGATTATTGATCATATTTTGGGGGTTAAATGTCCTTGAGTGAATTATAAGCAGATTATTTCCTGTTTTCTTGATATTTTTTGGTAACTTTTTATATAATGGATGCAGGATGAGGCTGTTTTCTTCAAAGTTTTTGATCTAAACTTGTAAAAAATAACAATTTCACTTAGTTTTCTTCACTTAAATGAACAAAATGCTGAGATATAAGCCTACATTTTGACATGTCATAGCAGGAAACTCACAGGTGTATTAATGATGGCTGACGTGGTGACACTTAATGGACCTGAGCCTTCGTTACTGTTATTAAATCCAGTCCACCTGTGTTTTTAGATTAACTGTTTATAGATAAAATAGTCGGCAAATTCACCAAATATATTCACCTGTGTGTTTTTTGTTTTTTTTTCCTGCTATATGTTTTTAATGAAATGATTCAATGATACTGGCTGGGTTTTTTTTCTTTACCAGAGAATTGTTACACAGTTTAAAACAGAAACAGGTGATAAATGTGACATAAATGTAGGTTACTCTTCAATTCTCGCCTTTTCAAAAGTGGTTCTGTCCAAAAATCACATTCTTTAATGTACCCAGATGTACCCAGATGTACATTAATGGTAAAAAACAGATGTGAAACCTGCATTTTATTTGTGTTTCTTCAGGGTTCAGTGGGATGCCTGCTGGTGTCAGCCTGGTGACGGATGATCCTGCTGAGGCGCGCCGGCCCAATACAGCTACAGTCAGCTTGCCAGGAACATGGAATGATGGGAAATGGTGCAGTGCTGCTGTGTGTCGTTCCTGTGACATTGAGAGCTGTAAGTAAGGAGTTTTGCTAATGTTATACATGATTTCAGAGGGAAAATCCACAAATCAGAAAACACACATGGAAAATATTCGTCATTCTCAGTTGCAGATGTAATATCTCTTTAACTTTTCACCATTACTGTAACAATTCGTCTGTATGCATTTGTTAAAGGTTCCTTTAAAGTATTATTTTTCATGTGTTTAATGTGGTACGAAGAGCCCAGTAATTGGAATTACAGCCATCATGACTGAATATTCATTCATTTAATTAATTTATTAGAGATAATTGTACAATTAAATGCTTTCAAAACACCCAGATCATTACCCAAACTGTGTGATTAGCAGTCTGAAAATAGTCTGCCTGAATGGCCTCTTTTAAAATGTATTTTTGATGTTAATGACGCACAGTTAAAAGACGTGGTGGCTAAAATTAGACTGCTGTTGATGTCTGTGTCTTGTCTTAAAAAAAACTAATTGTGGGATCATGTTGTGCACATGAGCATCTCTGCATATTCTTTATCTTTACACCAGTTTACACCTTGATTATGTAATGAATTAGTCATTTGCTGATTGGTCTTAACGCGTAGTAAATAATTGGGTTGTACACGAGAGCTAAGGTGGAGCCACAACGTTGAAATGAGGTCAAATGAAAACACGAGATGTGAACTGATTTGCAGGTCAGTTATATGTTTATTTAGCTTGTTGCCGGCTGTTACAGGTACACTGAGCGTTAATGGTGCAGAGACTTTGTATTAGTTTCACAGATGTAAAGCACCATTTAGATCTAACACCAGCAGACAAACAACAAGGAGCTCCTGCAGTTATCTTTCAGTTTCATTGTTTAGCTTTGAATGAACTCACAGAACAGAAAAAAAAAATCTAATGCAGATAGGCTGCGAGACACACTGCATGAATATTAGGAGAAACCAGTAACAATTAGTCTTCCACAGCATTTACACATCCAGAAGGTTTTGCAAGAAAAGACAGTTTTATTAGAAATTAGAAATTTTAACAAGCGGCCGAATAGGAAGACCCCAAACTCACTCTGGTTTTTTTAAACCAACCAAAACTTGTAGCATTGGTGTAGATGTAAATGCAGAGGAAGAATAACTTAAAAAAAAAGACAAAATGGGTCTTTAATATAGTGAAAAGAAATGTTTAAGGTTACTGGTTCACTGACTACTACTAAAGAACCAGGGGTGCAGGACAATGAATAATCGATTGGTAGAGTTCCCGGTCAATAATGCTGCAGGTCTCCTGCATCAGTTTAAACACAGATAAAGCCCAAGCACTGAGAGATAGTGGGAATTTTTGTCCTCCTTCACAAACAATTGGTCAAATGTTTGCACAGTGAGGGTTCACAAGAGTCAAATAGTAACTCTGCAGCTTGGACCTTAACATGTGCGACAGAGAGGAACTCAGCCAAACCAATATTGCTGTCCGATTTAGCTATGTAACTAATGCAGTGCAGCCACTCTGCATTTTACAGTTTGCCATCCGCCGTGATGTGTGGTGTCAGAACGTGTGTAGAAGAAGGGGGACTTCTGGTGGACCTCTTGTTTAGCACAAGGGCGCATCTGTCTTGAGAACAATGAGCTTTGGTTTGGTTTTGGGAGGAGTAAAGGAAGTATAGGGAGTATATTTTGGGGGCCGGGGGGGAGAGATGATGGAGGGGAGAATGTAAAAGAAATGAGGGCGGGAGAGGGGTGATGTTCAGGGCAGGAAAGGAAAGAAGGGGTGTGAAGAATTCAGGTTTATGCCAGGCTGGTGGCATAAAGGTTTTAGTTTAGGGCGGGAAGGGAAGGGTAAGCCAGTCGAATCTCTTCCCCTTCCAGAAGTTTTCTGAAAAGAAAAAGGAGACAGATTATCTTCGAGCTATTTACACAGTAAAAGTGTGAAAAACATAATTTCTGTTGTGAGATTTAATATAAAATAAACAACTTTTAAAACATGTTGCCCCAGAAAAAAGTCATAAAATCATGAATATTTCTTTAAGATGAACTAATTGTACAATATTGGTGGCGATCAGCAGCCAAAACTAGATCTCACCTGTACGCAGCAATTTCAATGTCAAGGGCCATCTTCACATTGAGAAGGTCTTGGTACTCTCTCAGATAGCGCGCCATCTCCTGTTTGGCGTCAGTGATATCCCGCTCCAGCTCACTTATCCTCATCTATGAAGGCAAAAAAAAACCCCACAACTATTCATTATCAAATGTCACAGTTAGTGATGCATGTAGGACACAACTTTATGATAGATATTTGATTTTAGGTCATTTTTAGCTTGAAGAGATTTGTGTAAATGGTTGTAAATTAACATATAGTTTTTGGAAATCCCTGATAATTTTATGTGTGCTCTTTCTCATTTATTCAGACAGTAACCTTGCAGATTTTCACCTCTCCTGTGAGCCTGCCATCATTTCCTGCTGAGCACTACGGTATGGGGAGGGTGTAGCTGCTGCAGAGAATATATTTACATTTTCTATCAAAAAGAAACAAGCAGGGCTTCCTCATGCTGTTTCCTACTTTCTGCATGTTGAGTATTTTCCATTTAGTCTGAGAGGCATCTATAAAGATTATTCCATCTTATCTCTGTGTCCAAGTTTGAGGTCACACCATCTTTTCATCTTTCCTGACCCCTTTTTCCTGTGCACCTTAAAAAAATCATAAGAACAAGATTGCTTCTGATCTGAGAGCAGAATACTTCTCAAGTCATATTGGACCCCAAATGGGCAGATAACTAGACGAGGCAGCGTATACAAGTTATACCACAGCTACCCAGATACTGGGTGAATGTTCATGCAGATCAGGATCCAAATATCCCTCATTCACCTGGTATTTTGCCACGTCTTTGGCCTGCGTCTGCTCAAGATCCTCCAGTTGCTTATTTAGAGAGTCGATGACGTTCCGGAGAGCTTCGATCTCCGAGGAGCGAGACTGAAGCAGCCTCCGGTACTCCATGGTCTCCTCCCGGATGGCGTGCACGGCCTCGTTGTTTTTGCTGGCCATCTCTGCCACACTTGCGAACTTGTTCTTGTACCAGTCCTCAGCGGCCTGCATGTTCTTGTTTGCCAGCCGCTCATACTGTGCCCGGATGTCTCGCAGGGCGGTGGAAAGGTCGGGCCGGGACACCTCCACATCCACGCTGATGTTAGCCACCTGCAGCTGAGCCTGCAGCTCTGCTTGCTCCTCTGCAAAGACTTTCTTCAGGAACACCATCTCGTCACACAGAGAGACCACGGTGGCCTCTGCATCACAGTTGGAGAGCACGGCCCTGCCGGCCTCCTCCCTGGCCCTCTGCAGGGCCTCCTCGGCATCCATACGCCGTCTCGACTCCTCCTCGTAGCGCTCCTTCATCTGCTCATACACGTCACGCAGGTAGTCTCTCTCCGCCTCCATCCGCATCTTCTCCCCGTTCTCCGAGTCTATCATGGCCCTCAAACTCCGCGCCTGGCCCTCATAGAGCGTCTGCAAACGGGAAGGGTCGTTCTGCCGCCTCCTCAGCGCCTCCAGCTCGGCCAGCAGGGCTCGGTTCTGCAGCTCCAGGTGCCTCACCTTCTCGATGTAGGTGGCGAAGCGGTCATTCAGGTCCACCAGCTGCTCCCTCTCCTGGGAGCGCAGGCCCAGCAGCTCTGTGTTTATGGAGCTGGCCTGAGCCAGGTCCATCCGCTCAGACCCATCTGGCAGGGAAGAGGAGGCCAGCCTCAGGATCCTCTTCCCAGACGGAGGAGCTCGAGGAGAAGAGAAGAGGGTGGAAGACATAGAGGATTTGGTGGTGGATTGGGAGCCTCTGTAGCTGTCCCAAGGGCGGCGATAGGAGAGGTAGGAATCGTAGCTCATGATGAATTTTTTGTTGTGGGTTTTTTTGTTTGTTTAAGAAAAGGATATGGATGTTTTTAGTTTCAGAAGGTTTTTTTTTATGTCCCCCTTGTTCTGCACACCATCGGTGAGGATGAGCGAGCGTTTTTGCACTGCACCAGCTCAGTGATGCTGCAGATCCCTGGCTTTTATAGAGTGAGGCTGCCCTCCCTCCCCCTCCACCACAGAGAAACATCAGTGCTGTCAGCATCCACCAGACCAATAGCAGGCTGCTGCAGTGAGGAGAGAGGAGGTTGGTTTTCAGACTCTCTCTCAGCCAGGGCAGGCAGACATGGTGTGGTAGAGCAGGGTTTCTTTTAATCTGACCTAAAAATGGCATTACACTCAATTACTCTTATTACTCTACATATTTCTGGTGGCATATTTTACCCTACTTTCTGCCCTCAATGCAGGCTCAGATGCATTTCTCAAGCAATGAACACATCCACATCAATAAAGTGAAAAAAAAAACTGGGGCAAACCTTGTGAAAATGACTTGAAACAAAGTCTTTTCCACAACCCAGTTAGAGAGAATCAATACAAAGTGCGTAAAGACAGAGTGAGGCGGACGTACACTTTAAAAGCCAGGCACTTAAAGGTTTTAATGCCATAGAAGACAATAAATTAAATACCATATAGATTGTTTGGTTCTTAAATAGATTGATGTGGTTGATACCTGCCCACTGCTATCTATGAATAATAGGTCTGAATAATCTCACTTTAGCCCACATACAAAGATATTAAACCCTTTCCTGCTAATTGAACAGTACACAGATGGCTAGTGCTTTATTTTATTACTTTTTACTTTACAGAGATGTATTTTAAGAAGTAAAATGTTCTCCTTATACACTTTCTTTTTTGATCCTCTCCTTATTGTTGTCTATTTTGCTAGGAGTGTCCCTTCGCGATTGCCCTGTATACTGCTTTTGTTCCCAGAGTATCTTTAGACGTATCTGTTTGATCTATTTAAATTGCAAATTGATGAGTCACTGATGTTCTTGAGCTGACAGTGTGTGTGGGAGACACCACTGAAGAAGAAAGTGCTATCTGTATCTGCTGACACAGAGAAAACACTCCGGCTGTTTAACATCCAGAGATGAGTCAGAGGGTACCTGTAAATCATCCTTAGTGTTTGTCGAAAAAGAGGCATGAAGCTGGCGTTCTTATGCAGGAAGTGATTCAGATTTCTGCTCAAGGACACGGTTTTTAGTGACAGACGCTTTCGGACTGGTGTCAGTTGTAGGACAGTTGTCTCTTAAAGGCCAACATTTATACTCCAGGAGGGAGTCAGGATCATTATAGGTAACTAAAACTAAACTAAAGTAATACTAGGTGAGAACAAAACTATTTTAGATGACTGAAAGAAGAACGGAGACTTTAGAAAAACAACTAAACTAAAACAATATATTTAAAATAAAGTAAAGATATACAGGAAATGTCTTTAAGTTTTAGTCTTTCTCAGTGTGGTCAAATTTGTCAATACAACAAGCATAAAGAGGCATTATTATACTGCTTATTCTTAGCTTCTTGCCCCTGAAATATACCCCCCATGTTATAATAATAATAAAATAAATAAAACTAATACTGAAACGAGCAAACCCACCTCACTCAGGATCACTATTTGATCCACCGGCACTCATTTGTCACTGCAGAGGTCAGCTTGGTCAAAGTGGAATACATTAAAACAACTTAAAGTGAAAATAATTAAGATTTCTAGCACACAATGACCATAATTTATCAGCAGAGTGTTGATTTAATTCTTGATGATTCAATCAGTTCCACCAGCTGCTGAAATTTCAGTTTGGAGACAAAAAAAAAAAGCAAGACGGCCCTAAAGCATCAGTGGAAGAAAGCCACGCTTTATTTGTTTTGGGGGGAGTGAAGCATGGCGTGTTGGAGAAAAGTCTTCAGAAGAAAAATCTTGGCATCCCCTGTAGTACTATCACAGCTGCCAGTGTTTTCATCGTCACCCTTTAGCAACAAAGTGTTGTTTTCAAGGCCAAAAAGCAAAATGATAAAGCAGTATTATAATTCCAGTAGGTGGCACTGTTCAGCCGGACATCAGAGATATCAGCCGGATAAACTAGAAGATGAGAAGTATCGGATCCAATTACTCCTTTAGATTGCTGACATTGTTGTGTCAGTTACACCCAAAAGGCTTTTGGACAGGGAGAAGTTCTATTTATGACCAAAAGAGGTCAATGACGCTCATTGATTACTTAGCATTTAAAGGGACAGCTCACCCAAAGAAACAATAAAAAATGTTGTTACATAGGGAGAAGCAATGCAACAGATGTAATGTATACAGCTGATTCACAGCTCCCGTCCCTCCATCAGTGTTTGCTGCTTTATTATTCAAGCTGCTGCTATATAGATATAATCAAGATATAAGTTCAGTTTACAGTTGATTTCTGGACAAATAAGGGTTGTTTTCTCAAAGGAATCCACAGATTTAATTAGAAAAGGTTATATTTACATTTTTTCTTTCTTCTAAAATACACCCACCAACAGTCTTTATTTACAAACAGTGAAGAATCGCTCCATAATAACATCTGTGAATGTTTTATGGTGTTTTCGGTGGATACTAAAATGCATTTTTAGTAATAGTAAAATCACAGATGTAAACAGTAAAATAAATAATGTTTCAGGGTCCTGGTGTTGTGCATGCTGACTCACTGTCACACTGTCCTGGCTTACTGCCAGTGCTGGAATGTAACTACAAGTACATTTACTCAAGTACTCTACTTAATTACAATAATTTACTTGAGTATTTCCATTTTAAATTACTTAACACTTCTTTTACTTTTTGAAGGCAAAAATTGGACTTTTTTACTCCACTATGCTTTAGTTAGTTTGATTGGACTGTTAATACAAAATGTAAATCAACTACATAAATTATGATATATTATCATAGGTTAGGCTACCCAGCAGTTTATTAATGCATCATTAAGTATATTAGTATATTTTTATGCCAATACTTTTACCTTTACTTTTACTTAAGTAAGTTTGAATGCAGGAATTTTACCTGTAACAATTCACCACTGCTTACTAAGACACTTGGTTATAACAGAGCCATCGTTATTAATATTCACAATAACACCATGTTCCTTTTTTTGTATAAGACAGGTCAACTAATGTGAATCAGGGGTCTAGTGGGACCAGATAAGACGACGTGATAGTGGTTGGAAGTTGCCATTGAAGCCGTTCGGGCCAGCCACTGTGGTATAACCTGAGCAGATGCAATGTAGATGTGAGGCCGGGTCAGGCTGCTGAGTATCTGCAGTATTGCTTAGATGAGAGTATAGGATTTAAAGGCAGCTTAAGTATATTAGGTCAGGACTAGAGAGTGATGTCACCGGTCAGAGGGCTCAGTATATTGACGACGGCACAGCCTGGTACGCACTACAGGGCTTAGCTATAACTCAAAATATCATTTAACATGTATACCGAGCTATCAGCACATTTTTACTGGGAGGGTGATACAGTCTATTTATGTTGTTGCAGTTCTTAGCAGTCATCAATAGAGGTCAATGAAACTCATCGATTGGTGAACATTTAAAAGGACAGATCATCCCAAAACAAAACAAAAAACACAATAAGATAATTTCCCACTCTTAGTTTGGGGCGTGATCTCAAGAGATTTTAAAAAAACTCTCAACAGCTCAGCAGTGCCTTTTCCAAATATAAGATCTCATTTAGAAAAGTTTGGTCTGGAACTATTATTACAAACCAGATACACCCACCAGCTGTCTTCCTCTGCACAGACAGAAGAAACTCCCTCCAATTAAGGTCTCTGACTGGTGATATAAAATACATATAACATTTTAAATATCAGTCTTTCTTGGTACTGAACATCTGATGATAAGTGTTAGATATAAACACGGTTTAAAAAGAAAACTTGCAACTCATTTACAGATTTATCTCCACGCAGACATGCAGGGACTTTTGGCTACAAGGCGACTGAGCTGTTTTTATATTCTGGCATTGAGCGGCAAGGTTTTTCACAAGTTGTCCCCAGATAGTCGAGGTTATGTACATCAGGACAAACTGTTTCAAGTACGTTTCCAATCTGAGCTGACTTTAAAACACCTTCCTAATCTTATCTCATGGCAAAGACCAGTCCATCCTGAATCATAAAAAGTCTTGGATCCATTACGTACAGTGGAGATCTTTACTACAGGGGGTTGTTGTTGTTCAAGGGTTTTAACACTAGGTGGCGCTTTTGCATTACACGACTATCGCAGATGTTTTCGGATGTTGTGAGGAGTGCTTATTCAGTTACTATGTGTGACACCATAATCTTAAGCTCACAATAACACATTCAGTCATGTTATCAAGCGTCATGAAGCGAGTGATTGATGTTAAAAATCAGTTGTAGTCCCACGTAGTCAAAGAAAAATGCAAATTACATGTTTATTCAGAGGTCATTTACAGCGAATATATTTCCCAGTGATACATAAGGTAAAAATAAGTACATAAAACATTTCTATTGACAGATAAAGACTTTGGAATGTCTGAAAGGCCTTTTCATTGCTAAAATTGTTCAACCCCCTTTAATACATTTACAAGAATCGCAGGAATACATCTCCACTTGAAAAAAGTCAATTCAGCATCTGTGTGTTTTTTTTTTAAACTAATGAGAGTAAAACTCAAATAATAGAGCTTGGAGCTACATTTGAAGGTACATGTAGGTGAACTGCATTCCAGATCTACCTTTTTTTCTTTTTTTTTTACATTCAAATCTGTAAAATACTATCCACATAAAAATCACATTAAAGAATATAAGACATCCAACATATAAACAATACAGAAATTACCTTTAGGCTAAGTTTTAATACAAAAGTTTGTATTCCTTTGGTAGAAAACATTTATCTCAGGAAGAAAAACAAAGAAAGAAGTATATCTTGCATCTTGCATGGCCTGTCAGACTTTTCTTACATCCATGAGCCAATGTGACTAAACATTCATCTCATATCAGGAGTGCTGCATATTCATTAATGTTGGCATTCTCATGAAGCCAGAGCAGCCCCGCTGACATGCTCAGGGGCTGTTTGCACTGGCACTGTGCTTCTTAAAAAACACTGCAACTTCTGATTACAGCATGAAGGTGGTCATTCACAGGTCGATCTGTACAGTA